ATATGTTTCTTGTTTTCTGAGAACATCCATATGACCGTAGTAAAATATGAAAAAGTTTGGGGTTGACAAAGTAATTGCTCAGAATTACCAGTGTAATTATCCTAGGCCTATCCACAATTTGTGACCTCCAGGTAGCCTACATTTGTGGCTAGCCATCGAGGGTACAGTTTCTTAATGGGCTATTTACGCTAATATTGATTGAAACTGTTGAATTGAAAATATTGATTAATGACCGATATTTTAACCCTTTGAGTGCCAACGTCCGGGGAACCGGACGTTTTTAAAACGAGCCAAAAGTGCCGACGTCCGGCCGACCGGACGTTTTTGGAACGGGCCAAAAGTGCCAACGTCCGGCTGACCGGACGTTTCGTAATGATCGAACAGTTGTCATAGCAACCGAATGGATACTCGGATTCTTTTAACCCATATATTAACATTGAGTCGAAAGTTACTAGATGCGATACATCGATTTTCGTTGGTCGAAATATCGAAAATTCGATTTTTAAGAAATTTTAACCTAAAAATCGCCAGATCGCGGTCGGCATTTTTAGCGCGACCTTCGGGAAAAATCATCGGCATTTTTTGAGCGTTACTTTTATTTATCGCCTGGCACTCTAAGGGTTAAAATATGTCTATTATAAAATTAAACTATCATAGCCTAGGGTACAGTTTCTTAACTGGGCTATGCTAATATCAATTGAAACTATCGATTTGATTAGGCCTAGTAAACCTTCATGCGATTTTTTCACTATCAGCAAGTTTGGTTGGTTAGATTAAGTTAAGTAATTTTATAGTAGATATAGGCCTATTTCAAAATATTGATAATATTATTATAATTATTGATTTAAACTTGTAAATTAATTTGTAAATTTAATTTTATCTTGTCCTCTGAATGCTAATAAAGGAGCAGGACCCGATGAGATTTCTCCATCGCTACTCAAGTACTGTAGCTGTATTCTTGCACCGCACATAACAATCTTCTTTAATTCATTTCTTTCATCTGGTGTTTTTCCTAACTGCCTGAAGACAAGCTTTGTTGTACCAATTTTAAAGAGTGGCAATCCCTCGGATATCAAGAACTACAGGCCTATAGCGATTCAGCCAACGCTTGCAAAAGTGTTTGAGTCTCTGGTTCTTACTCGGCTGTCTTTCTTTACCAGAAGTTTTCTGTCTACAGCTCTATGGATTCTATAGTGGCAGATCCTCAACGACCAACTTAATAACAAACCATGACGGCATTATCTCAGCTTTCAACAGAAACCACCAGGTAGATAGTGTGTATATAGATTTCATTATGGTGTGGGTAGCCTCCGGATTGCGAATAATAACTATGATAGTGGTTTAAATACCTTATTCATGCAATCCAATTGTTGTCTCCACAACTAGTTTCAACCTGCTAGGAGGTCATCATCAGGTGAGTACAAGGATGAATTACTTCATATGAAGGTCGTCAGTAACAGTTTTTTTTACATTTACACAAACACACGACGAATAATAAACACATAGTGCGCACTCAAGAATGTTGCTGTTTGCAGACGATGCTAAAATCTATAAGGAAGTAACAACGGACTTTGAATGTGAGGAGCTGCAGAGTGACTAGGACAATGTGCTGTGGTGGTGCTCGGAGAATGAGATGGAGTTGAACATATCTAAGTGCGTTGTACTCTCTTTCTCTCGGCGCACGAATATAACGGTGTTCAACTATACCTTATTTGGTTCGACTCTCCACCGATCCTCTACAGTGAAAGATCTCGGAGTAACTGTTTCCTCGAATCTAAGTCCAGAACCTCAAATAAGAAACATAAGTAAGAAGGCTTATTCTGCTCTGGGATTTGTTGTCAGAATGTCTCGAGATGGGTTTTCACCTCATGCCCTAAGGACTTAGTATGTGCAGCTGGTCCGCCCTTTATTGGAGTACTGCTCGCCAGTTTGGTCACCATACCTGATATTCCATGTTGATCTTCTCGAGGGTGTACAGAGAAAATTTCTCCGAGTACTTGGAGTGAGTCTGGGCTTTCGCTACCTTGAAGTACCACTGGATGAGATGGAACGTCGGTTTGGACTTCTTCCTCTGAGTTCGAGACGCAAAATCTTTGATCTGCTGCTCTTAAAGATCATCACAGCCTCGGTCGATTCAACAGAATTGCTGAGCAGGGTTGATTTTCGTTGTGCTCGGATGGTTCGATCCAGAGGACTCTTTGAGAGAGCTCATTGTTCGACACAGTATTCTTACCACAGTGCTCTGTCTCGCCTTCATCGTCTGGGAAACAGCCTGCCCAGTTACATCGACCTGATTCAGTTCTCCGAGAATCGTCTTAGGAAAGAGCTAACCAACCTCTACTCGTCAGAGGAGCATGTGCATGTTTGATTTTTTTTTTTCATTAGCTTTTCTTTAGGAGTGTGGCGATGACTTAGTGTTGGGGCCGTCGACTCCCCTCACTTCCGAGCCAGTGAGTGCATGTTTCTGTGCAAGAGTGTGTGGTAGTGTTGGGGCCGTCGACTCCCCTCACTTCTGTGCATTACTTTTTCATATTTATGGTCTATCTTGTTGTTACCTTTATTGTTGTTTTTTTTTTATTTTCTTCAGAGTTTACCGTACCTACCTTTTGCACATTGTTCTCTTCTGTAAATTTGCTGTTTTTGCCTCCATACTCTGTATTTATTTTGTAGTGTTTCATAATTTTGGGTTTGCTTATTGTTAGTCTCTACTTCGTTAATATTTATTGTATTCCTGCATGTAACTAGTCTTATTGCCACTTGCTGTGATATTTATCATATATTTATTTATTTTCTCAACTTTGTTTTGTTAATTAAGTGTAGGTAGTAGATAGCTGTAATAGTCAAACGCATGTATTATTACGTCATCTTTTTTTGGCCATCTGTATATAAGTTAATTGGGCTGCACTTTACTTTACGTCCTACACTCATTCGAATGAAACAACCGAATGAAAATATTGGTTTATCGAGCGTTTCATTCGATATATATTGATATTTTCATTCGAATGAGTGTAGGACGTAAAGTAAAGTGCAGCCCTAATTGCAATGTGAAATGTAAAATGGTGTTTGCCATATACAAATAAATAAATAAAAAATAAACTATCAAATTGAAAATATTGATTAATAATCGATATTTTTAAATATATCTATTATAAAATAAAACTATCATAACCTAATCTAACCAACCAAACTTGCTGATGGTGAAAAAATCGCATGAAGGCTTACTAACCAAATCGGTAATTATATCGACCTCCGGACCTCACCCGAAATTAAAAATTTTTTTTTTCAAAATGGTCGAAATTTCACGCTGATTTCAAAAATGATTGTCGTTTTTTTCGGAAACGTCCCGTTTTCCCGGAAAATGGGAAAAACGGGAAAAATATTTTTTCCTCAAAACCCATGTTGTGGGTACTCAAATTATGCGGAATTTCCTCCTGAACAAGAATATGTAAATTTCATTACGATCGGACCACTATTAAGTAAAATATCACCGAAAAACGGGAAAACGGGGAAATTTCTTTTTTGCTCAAAACCCATGTTGTGGGTACTCAAATTGTGCGGAATTTCATCCTGAACAAGAATATGTAGTTTTTATTACGATTGCTTTTAAGTAAAACATCACCGGACAGGTTAACTAACCTAACATAACCTAACTTAGTTTTAGATAAGTTAGGTTAGGTTAGGTTACGTTAGGTTAGGTTGGTTTAGGTTAGGTTGAGTTTTGTTAGGTTAGGTTAGCTTAAGTTAGGTTAGGTTGAGTTTTGTTAGGTTAGGTTAGGTTAGGCTAGGTTAGGTTAGGTTAGGTTAGGTTAGGTTAGGTTAGGTTAGATTAGGTTAGTTTACTTACAATACTCATGTTATTAATAAACTAACCCAACCTAACCTAACTTACGAACTTAGGTTAGGTTAAGTTAGGTTAGTTTACTTACAATACTAACCTAACCTAACCTAACTTATCCTAACCTAACCTAATCTAAGTTCCTAAGTTAGGTTAGAATAGTTTATCAATAACATGAGTATTGTAAGTAAACTAACCTAACCCAACCAAACTTAACCTAACCTAACCTAACAAAACTCAACCTAACTAGGTTAGGTTAGTATTGTAAGTAAACTAACCTAACTTAACCTAACCTAAGTTCGTAAGTTAGGTTAGGTTGGGTTAGTTTATTAATAACATGAGTATTGTAAGTAAACTAACCTAATCTAACCTAACCTAACCTAACATAACATAACCTAACCTAACCAAACTTAACCTAACCAAACTTAACCTAACCTAACCTAAACTAACAAAACTCAACCTAACCTAAACCTAACCTAACTTAACCTAACCTAACCAAACTTAACCTAACCTAACAAAACTCAACCTAACCTAAACCAACCTAACCTAACCTAACCTAAACTAACCTATCCTAGCCTAACCTAACTTATCTAAACCTAAGTTAGGTTATGTTAGGTTAGTTAACCTGTCCGGTGATGTTTTACTTAAAAGCAATCGTAATAAAAACTACATATTCTTGTTCAGGATGAAATTCCGCACAATTTGAGTACCCAAAACATGGGTTTTGAGCAAAAAAGAAATTTCCCCGTTTTCCCGTTTTTCTGTGATATTTTACTTAATAGTGGTCCGATCGTAATGAAATTTACATATTCTTGTTCAGGAGGAAATTCCGCATAATTTGAGTACCCATAACATGGGTTTTGAGGAAAAAATATTTTTCCCGTTTTTCCCATTTTCCGGGAAAACGGGACGTTTCCGAAAAAAACGACAATCATTTTTGAAATCAGCGTGAAATTTCGACCATTTAAAAAAAAAAAATTTTAATTTCGGGTGAGGTCCGGAGGTCGATATAATTACCATCAAATCGATAGTTTCAATCGATATTAGCATAGCCCAGTTAAGAAACTGTACCCGATAGTTTCAATCTATTAGCATAGCCCAGTTAAGAAACTGTACCCGGGCTAGGGACTAAGCCTAATTCATTCAATTAATTATCATATCTCACCTGCATCTAGGCCTATGTTGAGTAAAATTCATGTTGTTAACTTAATCATTGTGTCTATCGAGACTCTACAGCATTTCAAAAAGCAACAAAGTTTAAACTTATTCCATCTAAGAAATATTTTTGTCCGGTTGGCCTATTCTTTAATTACACTTCTCAGCGATTGACTATAATTAATTAGCCTACCTTAGGACTACTAAAACTACTAAACACTCACTGAGGTTGAGGTAGAATAAAACTAACCTCAATAACAAAATAAGAATAACGTCAATAGAGAGAGATTAGATTACTCATCAGACAGACACCGAGTCATCAATTATTGATCAATGATCATCATTCGACGGACTTTGGATTTGGACATTTGGACCAGAGAGAGACGGACATCGAAATTGAAATTATCAAACTCAAATTATTTTTGGTCTTCATTTTGCATAACAATTTTATCAAACAATATTAATTTGATCAATCATGCCAACGTGTAATTATTTGCACAGTCACCCAATGTTCTGTCTTAAGAGAGAGAATCGATGAGTATGAGTAGACGTTAAAGTTTCCATCGTTTCCATAGTCCCAATCAAGCTGTTCTGCATTTTAATACAAACTCTATGCATAGCTTCTTCTTGTTCTTACTCCGTTGGTAATCAGATAGTCGTAAATGTCAAATTACCTAACCTAAATCAAAACATCCACCAAATATAAACATTTCAAGTTCAGTTGCCTACCAATGGCATGGTAAGAGGTTAGTTTTATAGATAAATATGTTCAATTTTTTTGTATAAATTCAGTAAATGTTATGAGGACATAATCTATTATTTGTCAAGAATTATCAATAAGTAGGCCCTAATTACAATAATTTTCCAAGCAATTTTGAGAGCTAGGCCTAGTCCCTCCCTTTCTAGCTTCTTGCCTGAGGCAATTTGGATCTCAATCATCACGGTAGGTGTAGCCTAGATTGCTTTAAATAAAAAGACAAGTGTGTTTTAAAATTAGGAGAGCAGTGTACTTAATTTTAGGTGATATTAATGGCAGAATCTCCATAGTATAAATTCATTGTTCTACTTAATCGATTTCCTATTAAGTTAGCCTACGGTACATTAAGTTGTATAACAGATTACAATATTATACATGTTAGGTTGGTTAGTTTCTTTCACTTTTCAAGCAAAATAGAATAAGTAATCAAGTTGAATGAATGAATAAAAACATACAAGTATGATAGTATTATTAAAACAAGTGTTGTCGTTTTCATAGACTTATAGCCTACTAACACCCAATGCTATTAACAATTTATTTATTTATTTATTTATTTCCCAACGGATTGCACCTTTTTACAAAATATGTGTATACAATTTAGATGGCATTTGCAATATTACTGACTAGAAAAGTAATAACAATGGTAATAACAAAGTGATAATAAATAGTAATAGCAAGTAATAACAAATAGTGATAACAATAGTAATAACAAATAGTGATAACAATAGTAATAACAAAGTAATAATAAATATTAATAACAGAAGAATAAACTAAAAAGAGTATCAACAAAGAATATGAACAGCAAGTTTTAACGATGAGAAGACAAATGTGCAGATGTGCTGGAGTGTGGTTGCTCAAGTGATCAGGGAGACCTTCTTTTTGAACCGGAGGGGCTTCTCACCGAAGAAATCCAGTTGAGCAGCCGCCGTGCTACCAGCCTTGAGTAGACGGCTAATTCCGCTGTTGTAAGAGTAGTAGGCTGGGAGAAAGCGTCTGCTGAATATAGTCCTGGAGCGGGTGCCTCTGGGCGTGGTAATGTCGATACCACTCAGGATGTTGGGGCAATCGACAAACCCGTTAACCAGCTTGTAGAGCATGAATATGTCGGCATGATGACGTCGGAGTGACAAAGGCAGAAGATCGAAGGACTTCTCCACATCGTCAACCGGGGTAGTGCGGTAGGTAAAACCAAGTCTCGGTCCAAGCATCCGTATGAAGCGGGTTTGTATGCTCTCCAGTTGGCTGACGTGGTTCTTCTGGAAGGGAGACCAGATGATTGACCCACACTCCAGCAGCGGGCGTACCAGGGACTTGTAGAGCGTGATCAAGGTGAAGGGTGAGTTGAAATTCCTTGTTGATCTGAATATGAAACCAAGCAGGGAGCTAGCTTTGGTTGTAATGTGGGCAATGTGCTCGTGAGGGTTGAGCGAAGGGGTCATTGTCACTCCGAGATCTCGTACCCTGTCCACTCTCTTCAGTGTAGAACCATTGAGGACGTAGTCAAATTGGACTGGGGCTGCACCACGTTTGTAGGAGATGACGACACATTTCAAGACGTTGAGCTCCATGAAGTTTTCCTTGCACCAGGCGTCGATGTTAGTGAGAGAAAGTTGGAGGCGCTCGAGGTCAGAAGCCAATGACACCGAGCCAAATACCTTAATATCATCGGCGAACATGAGAAATTTGGTGAGGATGACGTTGCCAATGTCATTCATGAACAGGTTAAACAGCAAGGGACCGAGGTGGGACCCTTGCGGGACTCCAGATAGGACACTGAATGGCGTAGAAAGGCACCCGTCGTACTTGACTACAAGGGTTCTGTTGGTCAAGTAGCTGTTTAACCACTCAAGCAGGGCCCCCCCCACACCATATCCGGCAAGCTTTGCCACAAGGATGTTGTGATTGACCTTGTCAAAGGCTTTGGAGAGATCAAGGTAAACACAGTCAACTTGGAGAGCATCGCCAAAAGCGGCCATGACGTATTCTTGAAACTCCATCAGGTTTGTTACTGTTGAGCGTGAGCGCAGGAAGCCATGTTGAGAGGAGGAGATACATTTACGGAGATGAAAATAGAGGTAGTCCAAAACAATGCTCTCGTACACCTTGGCAACAGCAGAGAGAATGACAATGGGCCGATAGTTTCTGACATTTGAACGATCACCAGATTTGAAGATGGGGACGACAAAGCCACGCTTAAGGGCCGATGGGAAGATTCCAAGTGAGAGCAGGGATGTAAACCAGATAGCCAGATGAGGAGCCAAAATAGGGGCACAGTATTTAAGAACGCACGGAGGAATAGCATCAGGACCGGCTCCCTTATTAGGGTCAAGCGAGGCAAGTTTGAGTTGAACGTCTGAGGCTGTGATGACACATTTAGTGATGGAGAAGTTCCAGCCAAAGTCGAAGACAGGCGAGGGAATTTGGTTCTCCGTGAAGACGGATGAAAAGTAGTTTGAGAATAGTTCGCACTTTCCGGCAGCACACTCAGCTTCTCTACCATCAAATGATAGTTTAGCAGCAGGGGATGGACTGCTCTTGAGTCTGTTGACGTGAGACCAAAAAGATTTTATGTTATGAGGAATGTCGTCTTCAATTCTTTTTAAGTAGTCTCGATGACACTTGGTGGCTAAAGACTTGCACTGGCTTCTCAAATTGCGAAAACTTTCACGATGACGAAGATTTCCTGAGGTTTTAAGAAGTCGATGGGTGGCCTTCTTCCTTAAGACAAGTCGTTTTAGCTCCTCGGTAAACCAGGCAGGAAAGCTTGAGGATTGAAGCTGTTTTGTGGGTGTATGTTGAGATATGATTGAGCCAAGGTGGTCGCAGAAGTCAGAGAAGGCAGATTCGGCATCAGGTAGAGAAGAAGGTGAAGGATAGTTAACGTTCTGCAGATCACGAAATACAGCGTCCAAGTTGCATTTTCTGAAGTCAGGTACAATCCTGACGTCCCTCGAGGCTGAGCGTTTCTGCAGCAGGATTGAGCAGGAGAGCGCAGGGTGATGAATGTCTTCGGCAACAAGAAGGTCGTCAGCGCGGATAACTGCAGTTGTAGGAGTAGATGAAAAAATGAGGTCCAGGTAGACACCTCTGCGATTTCGGATTTTGTTGATTTGGGAGAGGTTGTGAGTATAAGCTAAGTTGCATAGGTAGTTTGAAGAGGAATCGCCTTCGCAGGAATCAAGCTCACCCCAGTCCGCTTCAGGTTTGTTAAAATCACCGAAGATAAGCACGTCATCCACGAAGTTAGAAGATGAGAGGATATCCTCCACCACGTCACAGAAGTCGGCATAGACGATGGCAGGCTGGCTGGGGGGGATGTAGACAGAGCCCAACAAGATGCGACGGGTTCCAGAAGTACAGGTAACAAAGACGCATTCCGAGGAGCAGGCATGCAAGGGGACAAGTTGACATGCTAGGTGATCACGTACTGCTATGAGAGTACCACCACCACTGATCTTATTGCTCGTGGCCAAAGATCTGTCACATCTGAAAACGTTAAAACCAGTAAGGCCAAGTTCTGAAGAGTTCATGTCAGGTAAGAGATTCGTTTCAACCAGGGTGATAATATCGTAGGAGGAAGTTGTAGCACTGATTGAGAGTTCAGAAATTTTGCTTCTTAAGCCATTCACATTTTGAAAATAACAACTGAGGTGATGCGGTGCGCCGTTGGGAATTAATCGTTTTTTGAATTTTTAACAATCTGGGGGATGTTGTTTAGGAACCTTATGGTGAGATCCTTTTCGCCACGGGTGGTGCGTTCCTTTAATTCGGCATTGAGGTTTTGAAGGTGGGCGGCTTCACGGGGAGTTCTGTCTCTGGATAGCTTGACGGAAGAAAATCGTGGATTCGAAATGGTCCCAGAGCTGGCAAAATTCTTCATTGCAGTGATCACATCGGAATTGCTGCCAAGCACAACTTTAAGAGGCCGAGGTTTGTCAGGTTTTTTACCACCAACACGGAAAGTTTTGATCCCATTGCTAGAGAAATTAGGAATGAGGGTTGAGAAGAAGGAAATGGCCAATTCCAGATCATGTTTTTTCCTGGCATCAACATCACCCACAGATGATTCTTCCAGATTGTAGATCATTAAGTTTTTAGCGCGGCGGGTGCAATAACAATAATAGTGATTGGGTACAGTTCCACAGAAAACGTAAATAACTTATATTTTTTATGCAATAACTTATGATAGTGATGAAAATATTTCATTATTTTGTGGTGTGGAAAGCGAAAAGGGACCTCTTGTCGGTGATGCAAAATTTTCAGTATGGCTGATATAGGTAGGTTCCAAGTAATTAAGGTCGAAAATATCTAAATTGGGTTTTATATCGATTTTTATACCTCATTTAACATAGAACGGGACAGTATTGGTTGAAATATCAAATTGAAGTTGTAAAAGGTCGAAATAAATCATTTTGTTAGCCTCTGCACGGTCTGAGAAAAGGTACCTGTTGTCGCTCAATGTTATTTCGCCACAACGAATTCCCATTTCTATCATTCACTTTATAAACAGACTTAAGTCCAAAAAATGAATTTTCCTGCATTCTAGTGGAAATTTAGAGAACTACAACAAAGTTCAGTTTACGGAGGACAAAATATCTCACAAATTTTGCGGTTCCGACAAGTGGTTCCTTTTTTTATCTTATGGAGAAATGTGATGTGTGTCTGAAATGTAATTTTTACAACATGCTTTGATGAAACTACTATTTAAATGAAAACTACTGTGAGTTAAGACAAAAATTGGTATTGCTTCCAAAAGAGGGCATTATAAGCTTTCTTTTGATACCTAAATTGTTTCTTAAATTACAAAAAAAACTGTTTTATGCGTATCTGAAACTTTCAAAATAGTTTTTCTCAAAATGACCCTTTTCCATAACAAAAGTTAAAAATCCTATAACTTTTAACAACAAAAAATCGTAGATGCATGGGACTTGGACCAAGTGATTCGGAATTTAATAAGGAATTCAAATCTATATCCTAGCTCAAAATGGAAAATTCCCTACAAGAGGTCCCTATTCGCTTTCCATATCACATGTGATGTAAATAGTACTTATTGTTGTAAATATTGATTTTCTGTTTTGGGTCTTTTCATGAAGAGGGCTGCCCCCCACTCTTGTAGTGTGCTGCAGTGTTTAGGTTAGGTTGGTTCAGTTTATAATAAAAACAAATAATATTTACAAAATGTACCGTTCACAAACTCGTAAATAATAGGATACAAGTACAAATTGATTTCTCTGTAATTTTATATCTTCATTTATCTCTTTACTTTACATTACCTAAAATGTTTTTATTCAATAAATACAATCAATATTATATCGAGATACAATACAGTATTGTAGTATCGAACTAATAATATTTCATCCGATAATATATTGTAAATGACACAAAATCAATATTTACATATATGATATATCAAATAAACTTGACGCTGGTTACCAAAGCCACCATATTTTAATTCTTTGTTCGAGGGATGTCTGTAAATTAAAGTCTTGATCGATGTCCGGTCGCAAACAAGCAAGCTAGTTCAAATCTGATACCAACATCGTGTTCCTTACTTTGTTCTCTATTATTATAGTTGGTTCCTACTACCCATGTGTGACAATTAGTCTGGTCATAGTAAGTATTAAAAGTCGTTGTGGAAGAACATTGGCCTGAAGCTATCGTCAAGTATGAATTGTGTTCTGTGGTTAGGTTTCTGTAGGAAGGGGTTCAATCCCTGGTGATTACTGTTGCCAATTAACAGATATTATGTTCACAAAAGAGTGTTACGACATAGAAAATTCATATTGGTGGCTTTGGGAACATGTAAAAGCCTGAACATATGCACAATGAGGCTGGAAGCAGGTGTTCATCAGTTTCCATCGCAACAGATAATGAATGGATTTGAGGAAACTTTACTTGCAGATTGACATATTTTAGACTTCCTGAGCTGACTGTAGTCCTTGATGGTTTTATGGAAACTCTTTTGATAGTCTCTCTTGTTCAGTCACACTATGATCTGCATGAAAAATACCTAATTACTTTGGGAAAACGAGACTGATGAAAAACCGCAGTCGACTTCCACAATGGAAATATTATGCAAATGTTAAGCGCCCACTCCCAACCCAACCCTTCCCCCCCTTGTACACATTTCCTATGTCCAAACCCAAATACTCAATTCACGTAAGGCAACTGGCAATGGACTTAAATGCGGTTGAAAACTGAGATCACAAAAACCTAACATTTTCTTTCATGTTTTTTAATAGTGTTCACCAGACTAATGGAATAGTCTCATAGCAATAGGAATCAGCTAGAATAGTAGAGAATAGAGTAAGGAACATCATGTTGGTTTCAGATTTGAACTTTGCTGCTTGGTTGTGAGAAAGCTTGATGGAGACCTTAATTTACAGACAGCCCTTGTATCTCATTATTGTGATATCCATTCATCAATCATCAGTATAAGGATGGTTAAGTGATTAGGGTATACCAAGCAAAGTTTCGAGCAGTGTCAATAGCATAGGTCTATTGAGCCATCGTCAAGGCTATTTAAAATAATGCACCTTATAAATAATATATATATATATATTGCATTTACTAATTTGTTTCTTTTTTTCAGAATATGCTTCTGTTTTTGTCACAAAAACAACTCATGCTTCAAGAGAACAAAATTCAATTAAATACATGTATGAATGTTAAGCTAGTAGCTTCGATTAGGCTGTTTAATGGTCCCTCAAATCAATGAGAGATGGAATAACGTAAAGTTTGCATACCATGTGTAGTTGAAGACTGGTCCATCCTTTAATTTCAAACATGTATAAAATTATAACTTTGATCTTTTTGATTTTTACTCTAACAAAATGTTCAGACAATTCTCCTAAGGCAAAGATTAGAAGATATATTCTGTACGATGTCAATCCTGGTGAAGGTTTTAACTTGAGGCGGGATGTCTACATGAGGATGGCAATCTTTATTCATAATCTATCCAACAAATCTGAATTTGATTGGCATCTTGTTCTCCCCCCTTGGAATAAACTTTGGCATTGGAGAAATGATTTACATGCATCTTATCAATGGAACATTTTTTTTGATATCCCAAGTCTTCAGCTATTTGCACCAGTAATTGAACTCGAAGATTTTATTTCTGATTACAGTAAAGAAATAGACGAAGCCTATGTATTACAGCACTTTCCTGATTTCTACTCGTGGACAGAGGGCAAAGAGATTGATTGGTCAGAGAGGTGGAATTATTCAGAGTGTAGAAACAGTCACAGAAATGAAAGTGATGAAACATTCTTCTTTTTTGACGGGCGAATTACGACAAAGCATTTCAGATGCATATCTTTTCATGGTACGTCAGGGTTTCTACAATCAGTTGTTTCATCCACCAACGCCAGGGCTGTGATGTTTGATAGGGCAGAAATAGTGACACATATGCTGTACGGGGACAGTGACTACTGGACGTGCAGGCGAAGTATGCGATTCGCCAAACGACTGGTTGAAGTTGCTAGTAATTATCGAGCTGCTCACTTAAACTCAAGTGATGTTAACGATGGAACAATAAGGCCTGTTGACTTTCGAGATGAAACTCCTCAAAGATCAGCGAAAGGAGGACCTTACCTCAGTGTACATCTGCGAAGACAGGAATTTAAGGTAGGCCATCCCGACGCGGTCCCAACAATCCATGAGACAGTTCAACAAATAAAGAAACATTTGAATGATTTAGGTTTAAACACTGTATTTGTAGCTACTGATGCAACAGAACAGGAATATATTAGAATCAAAAGCATGTTGCACGCAGATAATCTATTCGCCATCAGGTTTTTAGACACAATTCCTAATAATAAAACATTTAAAGATGCGGAATTGGCTATTATCGACCAGATTATTGCATCACATGCAAAATATTTTGTTGGTACTTATGAATCAACGTTTACATATCGCATCCAAGAAGAACGAGAGGTATTAGGCTTTCTTCCGGAAACAACATTCAACCGTTTCTGTTCAACATCCATTAAGGAGAATTGTGTTAATCCTACTAAATGGTTGATAGAATTTCCAGAAGATGAATCTCGACATAGCTCTCATACGATCAACTATCGTAAGTCTGATGAACTCTGAAACCAAGATTTGGAGTGTCTTGAACGCTCAAGTGTACATAGAAATCTAAAGAATAAAGTGCCATATGAGATAAGCTTTAAACCATTTGTAAAAACAAAAAGTATATTCCTAAGATTGAGCTTATGTTTTCCTGTTTGGAATCAATCACCGTTAATTTTTTAATGTAGCAGAATCTCAAAGAGTTTTAGTTTATGTTTAGTTTAGTGGTGCAGAGGTAAAAGTATACTAGCTACAGTAGACTCCCTCTTTTCCGGACTACACTCGATGGAAATGACATCTCTTTAACCGGACAATTTTTATCAGCACATTGGTTTAACCGGACTAGATCGGCAGGAAGTGGCCGGTACTGAAACGACTGTTCTCGTGGGAAAGATTTGAGAACAGTAATCACATGTCTAAATACAATGCTCTCCTAAATTTAAGTCGAATATCACCGTAAACGGTCCGTTTTAATGAGTTTTTGGGGACGTCGGCTTAACGGGAAAACCCGTTATCCGGACTGGCCTCGGTCCCTAGGAGTTCGGATAAGAGGGAGTCTACTGTATCTAAACAAGACCTAATCTTTAGATTGAATTTTGCATACACTTTTAGGGATTTAGTATGCCATGTAGGCCAATTATTTGATTTTATAAAGAAATACTGATTGATTCCCAAACTCTCAACTGACTTTTTGAACTACGGTACGTATAAGTACGTGATAAGTAAAAAAGATCAGGTCCTGTAGTTTAAAAAGTTTTCTTTCTGATTCTGATATTATATATTCTTACATACATTTTTTTACTATTATACAACATAATCAATTAATACTTGGTTAATTTATCTCCATTACATGTTATTGTTATCTTGTTTTTTCTTTTCACAATGACGATTTGGATTTTGGTATTTTAATATGTGCGGCAGTAATATAAAAATAAAATGGAATGTTAAGCTGTGTTGTTCCACAGTATCGAAATTGTGTATCGTTACATGTTTTTATCATGACAATAATTAATAGGTAACGCATTTTAAAAACTAATATTTATTTTTATTTATTTGGCTTGTAGTGTCTATTTACCCAAGTAGATTTACAATATATGTACTTACTTTGTATTTTATTAAGAGTTTTTTGTAATAGTTTGTTATTAAAGGGTATTACATCTCAGATTTGTTTTCTTTATGATTGACTTATTCTTCAAAATAGTCAGATACTAAAGGGTTATCTGATAAGTTAATGTATCCAATGAACTCAAGTCACGACATAGCAAGCTAGTTTAAATCTGGGTTCCCAGCACTATACAAAATTAGTCTCCCCGTATTATTGGCTAGTGTGTGGGGGGAAAGCCCACCATGTATGAATCTTTCTCTGCGGTCTAAGGTTCCAACCCCACTAGAAGCTTTAGCTTATCAAAAGTTGATGGACAAAAGAAAATGTGTGCAAGAGGTGGAGGTGGTTTAACAATAAAAACTCCATATATACCCACAGACTAAAGGACTAACAATCACTACTCATTACTTCTAGAGAGGTTACATGTTTTTGTTTATAACCACTCATTGCCAAATACAATCAGCTGGTTGGTGTCCGGTAAAAACTCATTACAGTTCAGTAGAACGTAATGAAACCCCATTTGATTAAGCTCAAGGCAAACAGCTGTTTTCTGGACTAAATCCTTGCTTAAAACATTGTAGTGTGGCGTAAAACCTATTACTAAACAATTTCAATTTTAATTTGATAAATCTTCCTCAGTAACATTACTCAAACACTTTCAACTTATCAAGGTAGTAGTTGCTTCTGAACAGGTCATTAAAAGGTAGTTAAAATCAGCTATTAATTAATACTATTAAATAATTAAATTCAATGTATTTATTTTAACCCTTTGACTGGTAGGCCTATAATTCATATTTTGTTTGCCTTTTAATTTAATTCCATTACCTGTTGTTAAATTGTAACTGTATTGTTTTCACTATTATACCTATAATCAATCTAATTTGGAATAATAAGACGATAACAAATATATAACAAGAAAAGTCTTGGTATTTGTAGTCAACATAAAAAAAACTGTCCAAGTTTTCTTATAAATTGTAATGTTCTGATAGCATTATTTGAAACAAACCAAAATCTCATAAAATCAAAATAGGTACATATAGTTTACAACGTAATATTGAAATTAACCTTGATTTAGTTTGATAAGGTTATAATAAAGCCTTTTTGGAAAAAAACCTGTCTGTCAGTAAAGCCACAGGAACCCCATTTATGCTCACTGTTGTGGTTCAGCTGAAAAATATCATCAAAATAGTCCGAGCCAAGACTAACTAGTGCTGCTACCTAGTACCGCATTGAACAACTAGGTTGTAGCGCCGTCAGGTGCGCTATCTGTTAGCAATTGTTGACGTCAGCTTAAATACCAGTTTTTACTCCATAATCTTCCAAGCACAGAAAGCCGAGAAGGCTAGGTGACATGTCACTTGGCCAGTGGCATTTGTTTGCTGGAGTTTGATTCCCGTCCTGTGTGGCAAACAATTGGTGACCTGTGTGTAGCGATATACGTCAACCACTGGGGCATAGTGAGGTGTTCATAATCCTTGGTTTAGACACCTCAAATCATCGGATCGGGCTTATCTTTTAGCTAAGTGGTTGATAGTGAATCCAATGAACATGCAGGTCACCAATGGCCATTTTGCTACTTTTTGTTAAAATAACCTTCCTCTTTAAATTCTTTAGTAAACAACAATATATCGTTCCATAGCACTCAAAGAGTTAAGTGGGACAGCATTCAGACAATAATGATGATACAATCACAGACATGAAGTCAGGATTGTCTCTGTGTTCAGTCTACACGGAGTGACATCCACTTAAATTGTGAGCATTCCCCTTCTCAATGGGTTAGATGTAAATTATTCCCACACCTACTTCTAGAGTACAAGAACAAACTGGGTTCTACACAATAAATGAGCGTTTGTTTAAGTAAAACAGTTTATTAAATAAAGTAAACCTATTTGGGAGCGTGAGCCTGTTGCTTCCTCATCTGGGTGAGAATGTTGCTCAGTTCTTCTCGCTTCCTCTTGGCTCGGATGTGGGTTCCCAGCTGAAACATCGTAAAACTCAACAATTACTTGCTGAAAATTAATATTATTATGATTTTAATATTCAAATCAACTTGTTGCACACGTCTAGAAATATTAACAGAAAAATAGAGGTCAAGGAATTGTAAAATTTAAAAAATGTTATTATGTTAACTTATTATTTTTCATCACAATAAATTTTTTCTCAGAATCTAAGTTTCACAACACTGTACTTGTTGGCATTATGTAATTCACTTGTCCCTATCCTCAGGTGTCTAAATGACAATAGTCAATTAGGGCATAAGAGGAGAATTTTCTTTACGAAACCTCTAGCACTAAATAACCATTAGGTGAAAAGTGACTCTAGGCTCGATACAAATAAAGAAAATAATTGATACAACATGAATTCCCACTCCAAACACAAAATATATCACAGAAGGCCTACTTTAACCTCCTTCATGAGCTCTTAGAGTTGGAGCATCATGATATTATTTTTAATAACATAAATTGTTTCTCAGAATCTAAGTTTCACACAACATTATTTATACTTGTTGGCATTATGTAATTCACTTGTCCCTATCCTCAGGTGTCTAAATGACAATAGTCAATTAGGGCATAAGAGGAGAATTTTCTTTACGAAACCTCTAGCACTAAATAACCATTAGGTGAAAAGTGACTCTAGGCTCGATACAAATAAAGAAAATAATTGATACAATATGAATTCCCACTTCAAACACAAAATATATCACAGAAGGCCTACTTTAACCTCCTTCATGAGCTTTTAGTTAGAGCATCATGGTATTATTTTTAATAAAATAAATTTTTTCTCAGAATCTAAGTTTCACACAACATTATTTATACTGGTTGGCATTATGTAATTCACTTGTCCCTATCCTCAGGTGTCTAAATGACAATAGTCAATTAGGGCATAAGAGGAGAATTTTCTTTACGAAACCTCTAGCACTAAATAACCATTTGGTGAAAAGTGACTCTAGGCTCGATACAAATACTAAGTATTAAGTATTCTGTGTTTAGGCCAAATATAAACCCATTTTAAACATAAATAACTTAAAGCTATTAGCAGAATAATTTCATTTGATTGAATCAGCTTGAATGGAGACCTGCAAAGTTTTAGGTGTAAAACAATTAATTTATATAGATTGGCTACATGGTATTAATTTATATCTTCACAAAAACATAGTGTCCCTTTCCTCAGGTGTCTAAATGACAAAAGTCAATTAGGGCATAAGAGGAGAATTTACTTTACGAGACCTCTAGCACATTTAACACCATTGGGTGATAAGTGACTCTAGGCTCGACACTAGAACTAGCCTAACTATTAATGTAAAGTTAAATTGCAAGTATTATTTTACATTGTAGATTAAACACACATTCACTACAAGTTTAAAAGTACTTGCCACTGAGTTGCAAAGCTCGGAACAATTACTGTACGGTATGTCACTATGGCAGGTGCAGAGTATGTCTGATTTTGCAAATGTGGATCAAAAGATTAACCAGTAGGCTATAATTGAAAAGAAAAAAAAAACTGCTGGTGTGCCCAAAATACAAATTGGGGGGAAATACTTAATATTTACAAGTTAATGTTTAATAGTTAGTATACCAATGAAACCATAAACACATTGAACTCTCCATGATAGTCCTACTTACTACTAAAAATATTAGGAAAATATTGTTATGAATTGTGAGAAAGATGCTTACCCTCCTCTTAAGGAACTTGAGAGCTCGCTTATCCTTGGATACTTTCAGCAACTCCATGGCTCTCTTCTCATAAGGAGCATGGCCGCACACTTCACGGACCAGGTCACGAACAAACTTGGTGTGCTTGGTTTGCTTCTGTAAACGAATGAGAAGAGAATTATAGATAGCTAATACCATTTTGTAGTTACAGACCTAGTGTCCCTATTGGCCTACTGAGAATCCCTCATTACCCCAGAAATATTTAACAAAAATAAATCTTGGCTAGTTAGTGACACAAAACTACAAATACAAGTCTGTGGTGGTTCAGGTTGTCAACATAAATTCAAAATTCTCTAACATAATTTAGAAAAAGCTGGCTGTAATCAATATGCACGGAGTAGCCCACACAACAAGACCATGTCAGCTTGACATTCATTTGACTAAAATATGTTTGCTCATAGGCATCCCTATCTAGTTAGTCATCAATTTAAAGAAAAAAATACCCCCGCCGCAGCAAACCTGCCGACTAAGCGAATTTCCATTTGTCTGAATTGATTTTCAGTTAAATATATTTTAATAACATTAACTTAGGTTTAACGAGTACCTAGGTTTGCTGCTACAAGGAAACTAATAAAGTGTGTTTTTGAGTAAAATATTGATAGCTTAGTACAAAATAAATAAATTTGCCAAGTTTGATCAAAATATATCCACAAACAAGCAAACTACAACATTTGACAATATTTTCCATAAGAATAACATGGGAATTTTAAATTTACAATTTTTTTAATTTTCTCCGTTACTAATAATCGAACAAAAATACTTTTATATGCTAAATTATTTGTTTTTTTAAGCTCTTTAATAAGGTCTAAAGAGAAATCGGGAAATTTTGTGTTTTGAGGGTCAAAAGTGAGAAAAACCAATTTTTACCCCATAAAACCCCCCGTAAAGCCCCGTTCCCATGGTCCGATCGTGCTGGTTCACGAACTCATTCAAGTTTATCCCGCTTTACACCTTTAAACCAAATTTCATCAAAATCGGACAAAAATTACTCAAGTTATCGCATTCACGGACGTATATATATATACATATATAAAAATTTGAACGAATGGTGTTTTTGGCCTCTGGGGACATCAAAATGAAAAAGTAAATCGGTCCCGGGTCTAGGTCTTACCGTGCCACCTACGGTAATAGCTACTTCCCTATAGGGAAATTCGCTAAAACACTATTACTTACGCCTAAACAGAAAAATAAACCTGATTAAAATTAAAGTAACCATTGAAATGTCAACGTACCCCCTTGAGGCGAGCAGGCCTCAACTTGTGGCGTTTGTCAACTTTACTTTTTCCAACAACGATTTTGGAAGTTCTATGACCCCGGTGGAGACCCACAGCAATCTCGTACCTGGGAGCCATCCTGAAACATAAGGCTTAAAGATGAACTGTGTTTCATACATTTCAAAAAGTTTGTCCAACCACTTCATCACAATTGCAATAAGCTGATCTGCGTCACAAACTTAAAACAAGATGATGAAGACAATTATGAACTGACAATAGTTGTGGGCTCATACTTGGCGCTTGCATATGTTCGTCTCTTTTTTAAGCTTAGGTCGGAGTCCTAAATAAGTACCTGGGAAAATAAGTTACAAAAGATTTTTTATAAGAAATCCAAAATAGCATATAAAAACAACTTTTAGAAAATGGTTCTTTAAATAGCCTAAAAAGTCATAGGTATTAGCGAATTACCCTATAGGGAAGTAGCTATTTACCATAAGTGGCATGGTAAGACCTGGGCTCGGGACCGATTGACTTTTTCATTTTGCCCCCCCCCAGGTGGCCAAAAACACCATTCGTTGAAATTGATATATGTGTGTGTATATGTGTTGGAAGTTGTTGTTTGTGTGTCAGTGAACATGATAACTTGAGTAGTTTCTGTCCGATTTTGATGAAATTTCCAGTTTGAAGGTGTAAGGCGGGATAAACTTGAATAAGTTCGCTAACCAGCATGATCACAGTACCATGGGAACGGGGTTTTACAGGGGTAAAAATAGGTTTTTTCTATTTTTTGACCCTCTAAACACAAAATTTCCCAATTTCTCTCCCAGACCTTTTCAAAGAACTTGAAAAAAAAAAATTTAGTAGCCTATACTAAAGTGTTTGTGTACAATTATTGGTTACCGGTACGAAGAAAATTCAAAAAATTGTTATTTTAAAATTTCCATGTTATTCCTATGGGGAATAATTGTCAATAGGCCAGTAAAATTAGTTAAAAAATTGGCTGTGCCTGGAAATAATTCTCGGAAAGCTGGAAATCGTTTTAATCCTTTTGTTTTATATAGAAGTAAAAGGATTTGAAGTTTGTCCCATTTTTCTAGGTGAGCTTCTGACCTGGGACCACAAAAACCTTGATATTTAGGGTCGTTTTTTAGTTTTTATTAAAACGTCAAAGAACCGTCCAGCCTACAGAAAAACACATGGTAAAGGAATTGTAGAGCATAAAATTCCGCATCCATTGAGTATCTGGTGATGAATATCAAACCAATATTAAGTTATTTATAGTAATTTAAAAAAGTAATTTTATTAAGAAATGATTGAACATTGCATATTTAACATTTATATTTCTTCTAGAAAATGGATTCCAAGTACATTATTATTTACAAAATAATTAATATGAATTACAAATACCCTCGCCGCAGCAAACCTGCAGACTAAGTGATTTTCCATTTACCTGGCTGGATTTATACTAAAATATTCCCTAAAAATTATCAGATTTATTCCCTATTTAATTAACATTAATTTTAGTGACTACATAGGTTTGCTGCTACAGGGAAGATATTGAGATGTTTTTTTTTATTGCAATGTCGATAGCTTAGTATTAAATAAACAAAATTTTCAAATTTTGTTTAAATATATCCATAAACAAGCAAACTTCAACAGTTTATTTATTCTCCATAAGCATATCATGGGAATTTAAATTTACAATTTTTTTAAATATACCCGTAACCGTTGGGCATACAACAAGGATGTTAATGAAATTTTGTAGACACGTGTAAACCTACATTTATTCTAATGAGTTCACGAACCATCAAAATCGTACTATGGGAGCGGGGGTTTGTGGAGTTTTTTTATGGGGTAAAAATAGATTTTCCCATTTTTGACCCCAAAAGCACAAAATTTCATAATTTCTCTCCGAACCATTTTGTAGAGCTTAAACAAATAAATAATTTATTTGTATACTGACGCGTTGTTGTATGCCCAACGGTTACGGGGATAATTAAAAAAAAATTTAATTTAAATTCCCATGTTATTCTTATGGAGAATAAATAAACTGTTGTACTTTGCTTGTTTATGGGTATATTTAAACCAAATTTGGAAATTGTGTTTATTTAAGCTATCGAGATTGCAATAAAAAACACATCTCAATATCTTCCCTGTAGCAGCAAACCTAAGTAGTCACTAAAATTAATGTTAATTAAATTGGAAATAAATCTGACAATTTTTAGGGAATATTTTAGTACAAATCTAGCCAGGTAAATGGAAAATCACTTAGTCTGCAGGTTTGCTGTGGCGAGGGTATTTGTAATTCGTTTTAATTGCTTTGTAAATAATAATGTACTTGGAATATATTTTCTAGAAGAAATAAAAATGTTAAATATGCAATGTTCAATAATTTCTTAATAAAATACCTTTATTTAAATTACTATAAATAACTTAATATTGGTTCGATATTCATCACTAGATACTCAATGGATGCGGAATTTTATACTCTACAATTCCGATACTACGTATTTTTTTGTAGGCTGGACGGTTCTTTAACGTTTTAGTAAAAACTAAAAAAAAAACCAAAATTTCAAGATTATTGTGGTCCCAGGTCAGAAGCTCACCTGGAAAAATGGGACAAACTTCAAATCCTTTTACTTCTATATAAAACAAAAGGATTAAAACGATTTCCAGCTTTCCGAGAATTATTTCCGGGCAAAACCCTATTTTTACTGGCCTACAAATGTTGTACCGTAGTTTGTTTGTTATATATTTTGATTAAGCTTGGAAAATTTATTTATTTTATACTAAGTTATTAATATTTTACTAAAAAAACACACTTGTTACCATACCCTCTCTGTAGCAGCAAGCCTAGGTAGGTACTCATAAAACATAATGTTAATTAAATAAATTTAATTGAAAATCAATTCAGCCAAATGGAAATTCGCTTAAGTTAGTCGACAGGTTTGCTGAGCCGGGGGTATTATTTATTACACTATAGACATTCCAAGACCAAAAAAATCTGCGCAGAAACGAAAAGATCACGTGGTTCGTGCCGGTAGGTAACATTCAAACCTGCGCGGCTCAAAATGGCCCAGGGTTCTTTTGTTTCTCGGATGTATATAGCTTACCATTATGTTTTTACCAGTATTCCATATTAAATCTCTGCAGGTCTTTTACATATTTAGAGCACTTAATTTTATGTTATTTTTAACAATACATATTATTAATTAACTTACCCTAAGTTATTATTTTATTAACCCTCCAAGTGTCACTAGTTTTGGTCTTAATGTTTGCCCATTTATTGCGCAATTGCAGAGTTTTATTAAAATGTATCTTAAAAACTTATATAGGCCTATAAATATTTGAAAATAGCCACTTTGTTCAGAATTTTATGAGGATTCCAAAAATATTATAATATAAGGAAGTAGGTTTGCAAATAAATGAGTTATGGGCAAAACAACAGATTTCGGTACATAGCGTTTAGCTAAGAATGCATAGCCTAACCATAGCTAGGAATCTGGCTGATAATTTACATCAATATCACTACCGGTACACTACTTCTTCAGGATCATCAACCAGCCCTTCAAAATCACTTAAATCTTCTTATAATGCACCACGTATATATCACTACTTTTGATTTTTAACACTAAAACAATGAAAAACGTAATAAAACACATCTGTCATCGGTGCGAGTTTAACAAAGCTGTTCACAAGTACGCAAGTCAGCTGTCTGCTACAATATTTTCGGAACTAAAATGAAAAGCGTATAGAAACAGACATCAGGAGAAAGCTCTGAATAAAACGATACCTAACTAGATCCAGTTCAATCCGATTCAGTCAGTCCCAGAGCCGTCGCCGTAAACAGCGTCTGTGAGTCGCAAAAGCGACACATACCACTACAGCGGATGTGCTATGAGTCGCTTTTACGACACATAACACTCGGAGGGTTAATCAGTAAAACGTCTTTTCGCTTCAACACATTAATCAAGAATTTTTTGTAAACAATATTTTTAGTTTTACCTTTTGGTGCGTAAACATATAGAGTATTTGGTTTTCCAAAATGAGAGCAGGCCACATAAAGTTGTCCACGTGTGAGAAACATGGATTTGTCAAGTTAATGAAATGAAATAAAATTAAACGAAAAGTGCTTTATTTTACAAAAATAACAGGTTTACTACAATCATTAATGACCAGTTCAGAGATATGTAGGTTTCAATCAGTTATAGTTAGGTTAGATTAACCCCTTCGCTTACAACGACGGCGATCCGCCGTCGCGCTCCCGTTAGCCATTGTGTGAAGCGACGGCGAATCGCCGTCCGCTATTAAAACCTGTTTGTGCCGAGTTAGTTCCCCAGAAATCCAATAGATCGCATATGCTTCTTGTTCTATGATTTCCAGGCTTTCTTTTGGTTATATTTTCGTCATCTCAGTCCAGTCCAATCGGCAAAAAAACTGAAGTTGAAATGGTGCAACTTAGCAGCTGACGACGTCTACACTGGTTTCACAGCTGATACGTTGTTGTGTTTACTTCGACGATGTAAACATTGTGTTAGAGCCTTGTTTTACTTTATTATTTTATTGAAAAGTGTAGTTATCTTATAAAATAAGTTATAGAATTTACTTAGTGTAAGTTTTTATCAGTATTTTACTTTTTCGTCGTTATAATGACTGAGTTATTAGGCCTATCATGTCGTGTTTCACTTCGTCGTGATAAAGATTGAGCTACGGTATCTTGTTTTACTATATTATTCAATTGAAAAGCTTTTGTATAATACGATGAGTCTTCAAAATAACTTGGTATTCGTGGATGAATGTGGAAAAGAGGTAGATGAAAGTGACATTATAAAACTTATAGGGGATTGTGACAGTGACAGTGATTGTGACTTGTTTGAGGAGAGTGGTTGGAGTGATGATGATGATTTGGAAGGGAGCAGAATTCAAGTGAGTAATAAGTCTAATACGCCTATTGATTATGAGACCACAGTTTCCCCAGACCATAATACTAATTGTGTTAGGCCTAATCCTTTAGAAAGTGACCAGTTGTTGCTTGAACAGCCTTCTTGCAGCTATGCTAGGCCTATGACCCCTCCAGATGCCCTTACTGTCCAATATAATTCAGATTTGTCTAGTAGGCCTGAAATATTTGATCAGCATGTATCTTCTCCATCACGTGATGAAGAATTGCCTAAATCAGTCCAGTTTCTTGATCGGTTATACCGCGGTAGTATGAGCGCGCCTTCTCTCTCGCCTACACCGAGTGAGGAAGCTGACGACCCTGGTTTCCCTGACTCTAGGCCTATAAATGATATAGATAGTGGCAGGCATAGGCCTATGACCCCTCCAAATGTCCAATCTGATTTAGATTTGCCTATTAGGCCTGAATTATTTGACCAGCTTGCATCTTCAATCGTGCCTGCCCTCTCACCTACACCGAGTGAGGAAGCTGACGACCCTAGCTTTCCTGACCCTAGGCCTAAAAGTAAACCTGTTAGGGGCAGGTCTAGAGGAAGAGGTAGGCCTATAGGAAAAAAAGCTATTTCACAACCATCTAAGCCTACTAAAAGGTCCAAAACTCAAACTAGTAACGATACAGCTCCACCAAAAAAGAAGAAAAAGGAGGGTTGGCAGTGGACCAGTACCATAGAAAGTAATATAATAAATAAAATCCCTTTTACTGGTTGTCCTGGTGTTAGAGCAAGTTTGGCTAGAAGTTTAGGCTCAGCTCCCTCTGAATTAGATGTTTTCAATGCGTTTCTTGATAATGACTTTTGGCAACATGTTGCGACAGAGACTAATAATTATGCCAAAGAAACAATTAAGAAAAAGAACGAAGCAGGCGGGGTAGGAAAAACTATATACTCAGAATGGTTTGACACAACTGCAGATGAAATGGCTTGTTTTTATACACTGTGTGTCCTTATGTCGCTTGTAAAAAAAAGAACCATACAATCATACTGGTCGCCTAATGCTGTAACTGAGACCCCTTTTTTTCGTAAAGTGATGCCATTCCGCCGTTTTTTGCTACTGTCCACATTTTTCCACCTTACAGACAATAATAGGAAACCTGTGAATGATAAACTGTGGAAGTTAAGGTATGTTATTGAGTACATGAACAGGAAGTTTTCCCATCTGTACATACCTGATGAAAACATAGCTGTCGATGAGAGTCTTATGAAGTTCCGAGGGAGGTTGGGCTATGTTCAATTTAATCCTAAGAAGAGAGCCAGATTTGGCATAAAGTTTTACAAGTGTTGTGAATCTGGAAGTGGTTATTGTTCTAAATTTAAGATCTATACTGGAGCTGAAGTCAAAGAAAATGTACCGGTTGAAGAAGGAAGTGGGGATTCTACACAGGAGGAAAAGCTGTTAACGAGTGAGGCGATAGTCGTTGAAATGACAAAAGATTTGGCAGGAAAAGGACATACTCTGACAATAGATAATTGGTATTCCTCACCTCTTCTCTTCTATAGACTTAAGCAAATAGGTTTCAATGTAATTGGAACAGCTAACTGGTGGAGATCAAACATGCCAGAGAGCTTCAAAGAGGGTAAACTTAAGTTGGGCGACTACGAGACAGCCTATAGCCACGATATGTTAGCAGTAAGGTGGCAGGACAAGAAGCAAGTTTGCATTTTGTCTACCTTTCATCAAAAAGCTGACAAAAGATCAACTGGCAAGAAAGACAGAGTTACCCAAGAAATTATAACAAAGCCAGAACCAGTGATCTACTATAATCGTTCAATGGGTGGAATTGACCGCGAGGATCAGCAATTAGCGTCGTTTCCTAGTATGAGGAGGTATGCTAAGGGATACAAGAAGATCTTCTTTTACATAATGGACATTGGCCTTTTTAACTCTTATGTAGTGTTCAAAAAATTAACCAGAAAAAAATTGGGGTTTAGTGAGTTCAAGGAGAGGTTTGTGAAGCAAATGTTTGAGTCGCGACAACTGCCACCGTACAATCGAAGAGGACGATCATCCAACTCAGAAACACCTCTGAGGCTCCAGGCAGCAACTTGGGGACATTTTCCTAGGCCTATTCCTCCAAATGAAGTCAAACAAACACCTTCAAGAAGATGTAAGGTGTGTAGTGCCCAGGGAAAGCGCAGTGACAGCCGATGGGAGTGTGAGCTCTGCCTTGTCGCACTTCACATGCCAGAGTGTTTCAAGGCATACCACACCAAAATGAACTTTGCTTGACATTTGGTGAGTTTTTATAAGTGTCATACAGTATTATAGACTAGTTCCAAAACATATATGAGCCCTATGTAGCTAAAAATGACCAATAAAAAAGTTTTTTTAAATTTTTTTATTTTTTTATTTTATTTTTATATGGTATAACAAAAAATTATAGTTATATTTTTTGGGGAAATATTTATATATTTTGAATCTACATTTAATTTTGAATAAGAAAATAATAATATCTTGCATATAAATAGTAAATGTTGCCTGAAAAAAAATTAAATCAGAAATGAATGAAACTAGCCACAACAAATTCGTTTGTTTTGGCCTAGGCGGGTAAAAAAAAAATCATAAGTGAATGGGTTAACCAAACTAAAATAACTTTGATATATCAAATGAAATAATCGATAACTTAACTTATAGGCTATCGAACGATGTATTCACTCGAATGAGTGTAGGTTGTAAACTGAAGTGCAGCCAGTTGTTGATTTTTAGTTTAAAGTTAGGCATATCTCCAGACTGTTTTAACACTGGATTCGGATTCAGCGTTGAATTTCGAGACAAATGAAAATTGAAAAAAGAAATTTAAAATTTGGTTGCAAACCCTAAAATACATACTAACCGATGCTGGAATAGGCTAAGGGATTTAAGTTAAGTAGACATGTAATCGACATTACCCACTGGAACCTAGGACTAACTTGCCTAAATTTAGTCATTTGTAAACAAGTACAACATTGAAGGTTATTTCAATGATCACTAGATATCTGTAATATCGATTCCGAAAACTTGCTCAAATAATTACAGTAATATGCAAGGAAATTTATATAGCTTAACATTCTGACAAAACATCAGGACACTAACCTAATACAGTAAGTTGGTCTGACTGATAGACCTTGAATAAAAACTTTAAACTAGCTAAGATATCTCTTGAACAAAAAGCCAATCTTAAGAATTAAATTGTATTGCTTGTATATAAAAACATATTAGCATTTATGATTAGGTTGATTAAAACAGATAAAGGTATTGCAATTTTATCTAACCTGCAGGCTTCCTGATGATGGAACGGAACGATAGAGACCTAAACAAAACGGAAGAAGGAGAAGAAGAAGAAGTGAGAATGGTGGTTGAAAACGAGCGTCTAGGGACAGCTCCGGCTGTAAGTTATGACGTCATCCGTGACCTCAGAGCTTTCAGTCAGTTCACTCCTATAACCTAAGCCATAAACGCATGAGGGCGAAATTTTATACTGAGACTGAGCATTGAGCAGAGCAGGATATGACGTCATGGAATGGTATCATACGATCGGTTCGAAGAATGAAGAAATCTAGGGCCTTCAACTTCAACGCCAACAAAAGACCTTTTTAGAGTTAGAGTTAGATTCTACCTAAATTGTAGTCAAATATCGGTTACGGCCGTGACTTAAACTTAAGAGAAAATGGAAAATATCACCGATAACCAGGAAGATATAATAACATCTTTTACAATAATCTTGCCAAAATTAGACTCGGGCTATCATACTTACATGAAATTGTACTCAAAGTATGGAATAGAAATGTATAGCTGAAAATTATAAACATTTTCAGGCTAACCAGTCAAGAAAAACCTCCAATATAATGTATTCTCCTTTTAATTTGTATTAACCTTTAAATGTAATCTCTAACAAACTGTCAAAGTGGTGCAAAATCAATCCAATGTACGATATAAATGATTTTTAAAATATTAAATTCATATAAAATGATATAGATTTTAAAAATTAGCCTTTATTTTATATATTCTGTTTGACGAAATCCATTGCAATTGTGTAGCCTAAGTAGGTACTGAACGATGAATAAATTGTCCATTGTCTATAACTAGGCCTATCATAGCCTACACTGTACTCCATAACCCCCAAAATGTTCTGAACAGGTAATAGGGATAAATAATGAATATATTTCATGCCTAAACAATATTTATTTAGACCTATATGTACAAGAAAAAATATATTTAACTTATTCATATATTATTTACAAGGAAAACAGTAGCCTAAGTTATTTAGGCTATCTAAGAGAAAAGCAAAACAATATAAAATTTAGGCTATATGAGTTAAGAGACAAGCAAAGCAATATTTATATAATATTTACAAGCAAAACAATATCCTTTGTTTATATTTACAAACAAAACAATATTCATTAATATTTATTAGAAAAAAAATATAGATTTATACGTACAAGAAAAACAATGTTTATTTAGGCTACATAATAGACAACCAAAACAATATTTATTTAGGCTATATAAGAGACAAGCAAAACAATATATATTTAGGCTATATAAGAGACAAGCAAAACAATATTTATTTAGGCTATATAAGAGACAAGCAAAACAATATTTAGGCTATATAAGAGACAAGCAAAACAATATATATTTAGGCTGTATAAGAGAGAAGCAAAACAATATTTATTTAGGCTATATAAGAGACAAGCAAAACAATATATATTTAGGCTATATAAGAGACAAGCAAAACAATATTTATTTAGGCTATATAAGAGACAAGCAAAACAATATATATTTAGGCTATATAAGAGACAAGCAAGACAATATTTATTTAGGCTATATAATAGACAAGTAAAACAATATTTATTTCGGCTATATAAGAGACAAGCAAAACAATAATATTTAGGCTATATAAGAGACAAGCAAAACAATATTTATTTAGGCTACAAAAGAGACAAGCAAAGCAATATTTATATGTATATTTATAAGAATAACAATATTATTTGTTTATATTTACAAACAAAACAATATTTATTTATATTTAGAAGAAAAAAAAATATTTATTTATATACACAAGCAAAACAATATTTATTTAGGCTACATAATAGACAAGCGAAACGATATTTATTTAGGCTATTAACTTATAAGAGACAAGCAAAACAATACTTTATGTATATTTAAAAGTAAAACAATATTAATTAAGGCTATATAAGAGACAAGCAAAAAAATATTAATTTAGGCTATTTAAGAGACGAGCAAAACAATATTTATTTAGGCTACAAAACTTAAAAGTAAAGTAGCCTACCATAAAATGAAAATGTACAAGAAAAAATATTTATTTATATGTACAAGCAAAACATTTATTTTAGATTAGGGTAAACATCAACAGGACTATAATAATAAATTAAAATAATTAAATGGCCTAGTGTACATACCTAGTGTACATAGGAATTTTTGGGGCGAGGGAGAAGGTTAGGAGTTGAATATAAATATGAATAATGGATAAGTTAACACCATATTACAAATAAATATTACACTGTTACTTAAAATTAAACACAAATTTAAAGAACACAAACTGGGCCTAAAATAAAGAAACATAGGCCTAACAAAAACAAATCTCATATTGGTATTGCATATTGGTATTGATCGAGCTGTACAGCCTATGGCAAAAGGCCCAGGATTCAGAACATTTTAAATAATATGTTTCAAAGTACTTAGCAAAGTCATGTGTTTCTGGATCATCCTTCCATGCTTCAAGAACCTTATTGGATATTTGGTTGAATGTAGTGCAGTCTGTTTCTTCTAGTAATGTCATGACTTTGATAAAAACATCTTCTTGTTTTTCTTTGTTCCTAATTTTCTCTCTAATATTTTGTTTCCAAGCCTTAATCACATGCCAAGTGCAAAAGAGGCGCTTTGACGGCTTATTCATCACTGAAACCCAGCCATTATAAAAACTTTCAGCCATATCGCTCATGAAAACAGATGGTTGCACTTCCCCTACTTTGTTCTTTACTAATCTGTAAAATAGTTCAAGAGCAACTTCATCAGTCCTGTTAGAAAACAGAAAGGCGCAAGGAAACCCCTGATGCATTTCATCTAAGGTCAAAAGTGTGACTAGCTCAAAGTCATATTGATTTAGGCCATGAGTCGCATCAATGCAAATTACATTGTGTCCAAACTTTTTCAACATATCTCCCTGTGCATCATTCATGATGGCAAGGAAAAAATCTTCTTCATTCAATTCTTTAAACTGTTCGCAGTTATTTCCTTGTTGTTTGTAAAATAGGACACAGGAATCACCTTCTCTGTTCATTTCATTGACCCATGCCTGCACACTTGTCCAATCGTTATTATGTTTCACTGACTCATTATTCAGATTAAAACACTGTTCTATATTATGTAAATCTTTTCTTGTGATTAAATGCTGTCTACCAACAGAAGTCTCTAGAAGGAGAGACTCTCTTAACTCGTTCAAGATTGCTTGGAAGGGTATTTTTTCTGATATCTTTTGGGCAAGAGAAGCTCGGTCTTTTTCAAGAAGGCTTACATGGGCTACATCTGTGGAATGACCTAAATGAGTTTTAATAAAAACCACTTCACATTTTCCATCACTGAACCTTTTGACATTCATCCTTGCAGGACAAGTGTAATTAATTTTTCTTGTCCCTTGGGTCTTCAAATGGCGAAGACCTTTGCCCCGAGACTTAAAATGGCCTGATCGGCAACAGCTAAAAATGATAGTTTCCGAGTCCTTGCATTTTCTAATGCCTCTTGTTTTTACATAGCGGGATGTTGTTTGTTCTTCAACCTGTTCTTTCCATAAAAGAAAAGTTTCATAATCTTGAAAGTCATACGACTGCCTCTCAACATCAATTGCGTGTATACTGGTTATATGCAAGAGTAACTCTTCATGTTTCAAAAATCTCGACTCACATAGACACAAAGGACAAGATATACAATTTGTGATTGAAATACCTTCAGGTTTCTTTGATGTGGGTAGAGGACTGTTAGGATGTTTCTTTCTGCAATGGGTCCTCAAATTTTTAATTAATGTAAACTTTCGCTGGCACAAATGGCAAACGACTGTGTCACCCATTTTACTAACTTCCTAATAGGCGTAATAACTGAGGAACGAACACAACATTAACACATAAAGCCTCACCATCCTTAAAAACTTAACCTCTACACAGTAACTTAGTGGTAAGGTGGTAAAGGTAAAGGCTTGTAGCTTTACTTGAGACTTGAGGAAAATGAGGAGATTGAGAACGAGAACAACTAGACTGAAACAACATACACTACACCCAAGACCCAAGTCTCGCTTCATTAAATCGTTTCATTCGTTTATGCCTGAGGCTATAGGAGTGAACTGACTGAAAACTCTGACGTCACGGATGACGTCACATCACGCAGCCGGAGCTGTCCCTAGACGCTCGTGTGATTGAAATGATTGAATGTAAACTGACAGTAACACAGTGAATGTGAATGTAACAATTAATTAGGACCACTGAGCTAAAATTATAACATTAGACAACCTAAACCCACAGAATAAGAATAAAAGATAAAAGTTATAAAATGAACAAGTTCAAATAAAACCAGTTTTTATTCCATAAATCCCCCCATAAAACCCCGTTCCCATGGTCCGATCATGCTGGTTCGCGAACTCGTACGAATGAACGTAGGTTTACACGTTTTATTTATTTATTTATTTATTTATTAACGGATGCACCATTTTTACATGTAAATACAATAATCTTACATCAGAAGCAGAAAAAAAAATCACAGGTCAGTACAAGAGTAGTGAAAAAAAAACTGGAAAACAAAACTTCAAAACAAGACATAAAAAGATAAATAACAACTATAAATAACAAACTATAAATAACTAACTATGAACAACAAACTATAAGTAACAACTATAAATAACAAACTATCTGAGCAAGTTGACAAAACGAGATACAGTGTTCGAAAAACAAAACCAGTATAGGAACAATACAATGATGCAAAGCAGTAGCCGAGTGAAACTACAGTAAAGAGGCAGAATAAACTTCAAGAAAACCAAGAAAACAGATAAAACATGCAGAAAAATAACAATATAATAAACTCTGTACAAGTTAATCGTTTGTACCTAATGCATCGAAATCGGACCATTTTTGCTTCAGATATCGTGCTAAACGGACCCACACCCACACACACACACACACACATATAAGTAAATCGGTCCCGGGTCCAAGTCTTACAGTACCATGAGACCTACGGTACTGTAATAAAAGGTTTGTAGAGGATGAACGACCGCGTAGAAATAAGCCATGTTGTTCAGGGTTAATAAGAGTGTTGAGTTGGAAGAGAGGATTATCCAGGACAGGACTTTCATACACTTTAGCTAAAGAGATCGTGTGTTTGCTTACAATTTGGAGTCACCGGAAGACTGCTCCACGGACAACTACCCCCCCCCCCCCAAGCAGGATCCTACGTATAGGAATGGCGTCCCCATCTTAAATAATTGATAATTGATTAATAATTGAATGTTTATGGGGGGTGATGTTTAATAATTTTCAATGAAATGGCGACCATACAAAGTAGTCTTTCAAGCCAAGTATGAATAGAGATGAGTGTAGGATGAGTGGCGCGATATATTGTAGTCTTGTTAGTGACTAAGGCTGACATATTCCTTAGATACTGCTGTTTATTAATAGCCCATACAGCTAATGGCAACTAAGGGACCTACAGTTTATAGTGGAATCCGAACCTCATTTTTGCCTTGGTATTAACGAATATTGGTCTAATTATCAGGACAGTCTAACTGCAGATAGTCGTAGTGTTCGCTAGTGCGGACGTTAATCCACACCATTGGGAGTATCGTATCCAAAGTGCATGCATATAAATATCCATTTTAGGGGAGGGGTTCCAGTCGTGGACACTCAAATTCCGTTGTCAAACTGTTCTAAACTAACCTGACCCAACTAACCAAAACTTGCTGTAACATTTCAAAATTGTGTTTAATATTTCCTGCAAGCACTTTCTGTTATCAAACGGAATTACTCGAATAAAAATTACAATGATAAATATTACGTATATGAAATTATCTTTGGTACAAAGCATCACATTTTGCTAGGGGGAGCAGTAAGTATCCTAGTATGGCCACTATTAAGGTGGCCGAGGCCGTGGTTCCAGTCGGAGGACACGGCTCCCATATTGGTTAGTTGGCAGATTTCAAGATTTTTTTTCTTGTTATTTCAGTTATTTAAAACTTCTTTTAACCATATAATACAGTTTAATGCTTAATAATTACGCAACGCGTCTCCTGGTTTACAACCAAACAGATTTTTTCTATTACGTACATTCAAAATGATATGATTAACATTTCAATCATTTTGGGTGGGTTCCATGGGGTTCCATATTATCTTTCCATAAGAATTGTTCACCTTCAATTTGAATCTACTGCTCTTTGTCGATCTATTTTGCTTGTCGACATTCCAGTGTCAATAAAGTGGGAAAATTTACACAACTGTGCCATATTATCGATATCCCAGATAACCGACATTCCATATTACCGACACTGTCAATATTTTGAGTGGTTGACAATATGGGACTATTTCAGTGTCGATCTCTTGGGATGTCGATAATCTGGGAGCCCACGTTTTGAACACTGAACTGGGTGATATAAAAAAAACTCTTACATATGGGCTGGCTGCTGAGTGCTGGCTGGCTGTGGCTGTGTGAATGTGAATCATGAGAATAACATAACATAACCTCTTTCCTCTTTTGGTATTGACGGATTGGTCTGTATTGTCATTTTGTCAATTAGCATGAACATTATTTGTTTTATTTGTTCATTACATTCCCTTACTTAACTATCGATTTATATGTTGAGTTTTATAAAATTTTAATTTGTAATGGGTAAAGTAAAAAAGATTAAAGGTCCTAAGCCAGTAAAAAATATTGCCTTAGATAAACAACTTGAAGATGATAACCTAGCCAAAAGCAAAAATCGTGTGAAAGAGAGATTTAGGCATGATGAAGATGAAGCTGTAAGTTTACTTTAATAGCACAACATAGGATTCTTACAATAAGGTAGTACTCTATTTTTACAGGAGGCGTAGACTCTTAAAGTAAAGTGCAGCCATAATCAATGATTCGGTCCTGCACTCATTCGAACGAAAATATCCATTATTCGATTGTTTCATTGGATAAATTGTTTGGTTAGTTAGGTTAGGTTAACCTAGGGTAACTAGGGCCTAACCAAACAATATATCGAATGAAACAATTGATATATCATATCGATCGATATTTTCATTCGAATGAGTGTAGGACCTAAAGTAAAGTGCAGCCCTTGTATCAATGAATAAGCTGGAAGGCAGTAGCTAACTACTCATTGTTAATATGTGATCACATTGGAAAAAACTTCCAGTAGAACATGTTATGGAACGTTTAACTTACCCTTAAACAATTGACATCAGAGGCTCACGAGTAAACATAGCTATCCATCAGGCTTTTTGGAAATGTAATAGGCCTACCTAAATTAAGAAAATATTTTATACTTGCTGCAAAAAGTAAAAATATAAATAAAGTGGAGCATAGCTTAGAATCTGCTGATTAAAATGATTTTTATTTGTTAAATTAGCTCCAACCGTTCCAAGAGTTATGAACTTTTTTGTGGAACTCCGCATACAATTTTCGTGAAACGGCTAGTTGGTACATTTACAATAATTATTATTAGTGTGTTAATAAATTATTTTAAATGAATTACATGCTGTAAAAAACTTATTTAAATATCTCACAAATAATGGTAGGCTTGTTAGAATCTAAAAACACAATTTTAAATATACGTAGGCTATACAATTCTTACCTGGAGGTGAATTCTGCAGGGTCATTCCACGCCAAATCATCCAGCCAAAAGTAGACTTGTCACCCAAGGTTTTCTGATTTCAATAAAATTTTGCATAGATAATATATACATATAGATAAGAAGAAATCCAAAATTTTATCTCATTCTGACCAAGGGCTTCAGAGATACGGCCATTTTAAGTTTCACACAAATTCAGTTTCCGAGGCTTATTTTTGCGCTAAACTGAAATGCATACATTCTCGTCTTTCTATGTAAAAAGGACAATTTTGAAGATATGGGCTTCAAATTTGACTCATATATCCAAAATTTAATAAAGAATCATATAATACAATTGAAATGATAACTATTACCTACTATAGCCTAACCCTCCGAGTGTCACGTGTTTTGGCCTTAATGTCAGCCTATTTTTTGCTCATTTGCAAGGTTTTATTAAAACTGATCTGAGAAGCTTAAAAACAATGTTAATTATACTGTTCTATATACCATTTTGTTTGGAAAATCTTGGGCTTCAATATTATATACAAAACATAAGGAAGATTTTTAAAAAAAAATTTTTTTAGGTAAAAAAAATGTATAATTTCGAAAATTTAAAAAAAAAAAAAAAGTTTGCGCTCAATGAAATTGTATAAATTATAGGCCTATAAATATTTGAAAATAGCCACTTTGTTCTAAATTTTATGAGGATTACAAATATATAATAATATAAGGAAGTAGATTTGCAAATAAATAAGTTATGGGCAAAAAACAGATTTCAGTACATAGCGTTTAGCTAAGAATGCATAGCCCAACCATAGCTAGGAATCTGGCTGATAATTTACATCAATATCACTACTTACTTCTTCAGGATCATCAACCAGCACTTCAAAACCACTTAAATCTTCTTATAATGCACCACGTATATCACTACTTTTGATTTTTAACACTAAAACAATGATGAATGTAATAAAACACATCAGTCATCGGTCCGAGGGTAACCTAGCTGTTTACAAATACACGCACGTCAGCTCAGTCAGCTGTCTGCTACAATATTTTCGGAACTAAAATGAATAGTGCTTAGAGACAGACCTCTGGAGAAAGCTTAGAATATTACGGAAAGAACGATACCTAACTCAATCCAGTACAGTCCGATTCAGTTAGTCATAGAACCTTCGCCGTAAACAGTGTTCGCGAGTCGCTGTAGCGACGCACGACACTATACAAAGTGCGTTACGCGTCGCTGCAGCGACGCATGACACTCGGAGGGCTAACCCCAAAAAAATTCCTAAATACAAATAATTAGATTTTTCCGAAATCGGAACATTGAGTTACAAAAGGTTTCATAACAAAAATCTCCCTCCAGATAAACCTATAAAACTATATATCACTGGAAAGAGCATAGAATTATCTTTCAAATGGTATAATAACATGAGTGGGGTTTTGAGTATTAACATTGTTATCACACGTGAAAGTCAAAAATTAAATTTGATTAAGCTAAACATTTTATTTGATGCCAAATATGTATGATGAACTTAAATAATACAAAAGGTTCATCAATTTAAATATGTTTGTACAAATGACTAGAAATCAAAAAATATAAAACAAAATATTGGGTCCTTAAGTTGTTATTTTTGTATGAATTAAATTTTTACTTATAAAAAGCCCTAACTAAATCGTTCTATATCCTACATTACTTTTACCTAAATAAAGGCTAATTATTGCTTTACAAGCAATTACAATTACATTTTATGCAAAATTTATAAGTTTACCACTCTCGATAACAAATAAAAAAATATGCATTATTAATTTTTATAGGTTAAACTTCAATATTAAATTATATGTTATAAAAATAAAATTTTATGACATATTTAATACACAATCAATGTTTGTAACCAGAGTTTATACCAGTGAATGTGACCAGTGTCTGTGTGTGTTGGTGTGTTTGTCACTCCTGTGATGATATGAAACATGAAACATTCAAGTCTAAACATGAAAGGCTTGTTTCACATCTATCCGGCATGCCGTTAAACCGACTTCTAACCGGCACTGGCATGAGTGCACCTTTCACGTTACGCCGACACCGGCACTCTGGCAGTTGTACTCCAGCTTGTGAAACTTGTGTGTCGTAGGGATAGAAATGGAGCAATTGCAATGATACTTCCAAATTACTTTTATTGAAACTGTATTTATATTTGGATTATTTTTTTTTATTTCATTCAATTTGAATTTGAGTAAAATTTAATTCAATGTTGTGTAATAAATAAAAATAAAAAAATAAAATTGAGTAAAAATTCAATTCTGCTCTTAAACTAAATTAACAAGTAGTTCAATGTCTATTTCCGACATGACCAAAACTTTGGGAACAAATAGGCCTAACCAAAAGTAATACTCTTAAAATAACTACAAACAACTGAACTAAAAGTTTACTTGGTGCACCTGACAGACGGCAGGTGACCGGTTATATGTGAACAGTCACATTGGGCCGCTACACCCACTACTCCAGCCGGCTTGTTTACCTGACACCGGCAGCCGGCCTTCGCCAAGGGGGTACCCGGCATCCCTCGACTTATACACAGCAGCCGGGCAAGTGATTTAACTGACCACAACACATGCCGTGCATATGTGAACAGTCCCATATACTTCTTCACCCCATTGCCGGTTAAACGTTAAAAAATGTTTATCATGGAGGGTATTGCTACACCAAGTCAAGTGAGAACTAATTTGATCTATACAGTATGTAAACTGTCAGACTCTCCTTGTGAAAATTTTACTTTAACTGGTTCAAAAATGAAGAATATTCTGCATATCATGAAAGTGAAGAAGATATTGACCAAGAGTTTACAAAAAAATTACAAAAAATTTACTACAAAAATAGGCTGTATTTGGTTTTGTTTTACGTTTCAATCAAGTTGTTTTCTTTTGACTTTGGCATGTAATAAAAATGTTAATACTCCAAACCCCACTCTTATTTTTATAACATTTGAAAGATAATTTTAAACACAACACACCAACACACACAGACACTGGTCACATTCACTGGTATAAACTCTGGTTACAAACACTGATTGTGTACCGTATTAAATATATCATAAAATTTTATTTTTATTTTTTTAACACATAATTTAATAGGCCTATTGAAGTTTGGTCTATAAAAATTAATAATACATATTTTTTATTTGTTATTGAGAGTCGTAAACTTATAAATTTTGCATAAAATGTAATTGTAATTGCTTGTAAAGCTATAATAAGCCTTTATTTAGGTAAAAGTAATGTAGGATATAGGACGATTTAGTTACGGCTTTTTATAAGTAAAAATTTAATTCATGCAAAAATAACAACTTAAGGACCTAATATTTTGTTTCATATTTTTAGATTTCTAGTCATTTTTACAAACATATATTAAATTGATGAACCTTTTGTATTATTTAAGTTCATCATACATATTCGGCATCAAATAAAATGTTTAGCTTAATCAAATTTAATTTTTGACTTTCACGTGTGATAACAATGTTAATACTCAAAACCCCACTCATGTTTTTGTTATGAAACCTTTTGTAACTCAATGTTCCGATTTCGGAAAAATCTAATTATTTGTATTTAGGAAATTTTTTTTGGGTTATAGTAGGTAATAGTTATCATTTCAATTGTATTATATGATTCTGCATTAAATTTTGGATATATGAGTCAAATTTGAGGCCTCTAGCTTAAAAATTATCCATTCTACATAGAAAGACGAGAATACATGCACGCTCCCTTAGCGTCAAATTGGACCTCGGAAACTAAATTCGCTCAAAACTTCAAATAGCCATATCTCTGAAACCGTTTGACATAATGAACTGAAATTTTGGATTTTATCCTATCTAAATGTCTAAATTATGTGTACAAATTTTCATGAAAATCTGTGACTAGTGGGTTACAACCCCTGGATGACTTGACATGGAATGGCCCTGCACTGTAAATTACTTTTTTTTTAATTCCGCCAAATAATTCTTAAGCAGTTCATATTAGGCCACATGACTATTTCACAAACACTAGCCTATATTTAAGGAACTGTTCACTTGCTTTGAAAATACTTATTATTTAGGTACATATTTACAGCTATAGTTTTTTTTATTATTTTTTTTATTGAACGTTGACAGAAAAGAGAGAAGCCTCAAATATTAACTCCCCCCTTCTGCCTGGTGTAGGTTCTGGTAGGATTTTGAGCACATCCTCTTCAGGAATGACTGAACAGTCTTCTATTTCAGGCCAGTAAAACATGTTGTCACCTTTTTTTTCTTATAAACTTAACGACAGGCCCGATGTCATCGAATGCATTTTTTTCATGTTGCATTTAGGGCTATGTACACTTACCCCGGGGCTGGAAGTACACTTACCCCAACCACTGTTTGGCCCGGGGAAAGTGTACGCCCCCCCCTATTTTGATTAACAATACATTTTAGAGTTACATAGGCCTAAACCACATTTTTGGATTCCTCTTACAAAACTGTATCAGTGTACCAATTTTCAAATTTCTATTTCTATTTTTTGATTATATATGATTTTTCAAAATTTGAAGGCGGTACTTTCGTAGTAAGTAGAAATGCAAAGGTGTTTTAAAACTTAATTTTCATGTATAAAATAATTATAAATGATGATTTCTGACTTCAGAATCTGAAAGATCACATTTCAAATCACATAAAAAGATGAATTAAAATTTTTTTTCTATTTATGGCTTATTTATAGTCAACGCGTCCACTTGCCCCGTGCGTAAACTTACCCCACTTCACCCTATAGTGAATTTCCCATACAGGGAAAGAAGCTATGTTGAGGTTGACTCAGAACGCTGTTCTTAACTCGCTGAAGTTAAATATGGTTTCCCTCAAGCCTCTTATTCTTGTGCCTCTGCTTTTTGTTCTTTGTATAGGTCTAAATGACATTGGTGCTTATGTTTGCCCCAATTCCTTAACGTCGTATTCAGATGATACCACTGCTTTTTGTTCAAGAAAACATATCTTCTTAAATTACAAATTTTGTTGACTGGCTTTTAGGGAATTTCCCATATAGGGAATAAGCTATTACCGTAGGTCTCATGGTAAGACCTGGACCCGGGACCGATTTAGTTTTTTTGTTTTGAGGTCCCCAGAGGCCAAAAACACCATCCGTTCAAATTCATATATATATATATATATAAACCTACATGTAAACCTACATTTATTCGAACGAGTTCGCGAACCAGCATGATCGGACTATGGGAATAGGGGTTTATGGGGGGTTTTATGGGGTAAAAATGGGTTTTTCTAATTTTTCACCCTGAAAACATAAAATTTTGCAATTTCTTTCTAAACCATTTTGTAGAGCTCAAAAAAAACAAATAATTTTGTATATTGAAGCATTGTTGCATGCCTAACGGTTACGGAAAATCGCAAAATAATGTAAATTTAAAATTACCATGTTATTCTTATAGAGAATAAATACAGTGTTGTAGCTTGTTTGTGTATGGACATAGGCCTATATTAATGCCATTTTGAAATTTTGTTTACTTAATACTGAGCTATTAATATTTCAATAAAAACCCCCTATTTTCTTCCCTGTGGCAGCAAACCTAAGTACTCATTAATATTAATGATGTTTAAATAGGAAATAAATCTGACAATTTTAAGGGAATAATTTAGTGGAATTCCAGCTGTGTATATGGAAATTCGCCTAGTCTGCAGGTTTGCTGCGGCGGGGGTATTTAATAATAATCTTCTTTTTGTAAGAACAAAACTAATTATATGTCCAATTTATAACACAAACCAAAAATCCACTACATTTAAAAATATCATACCACAATCTTCAATAAAATAACTTAATGAAGTTAACTATTAAGGCGTTGGGTGGATTTTCAGCTCACGTGGCAAAATTTCAGATCTTTGTTTGAGTAAAGTGAGTTTTGCCTTAAAAACATTGATTTCTTTGCTTGATCAGAAGGACCTGTTTTCAGTTTGTCGACTCGAAGCTTACGCAGAGGATTCTGATACAAGCTCGCAGACAGCAGGAAGAGTTAGAGGATGAGGTGGGAACAGATGGAGCTTCCGGCCACCAGAGAGCAGCAGCTGTTAGTCTAGGAGATGACCAATCAGAGCACTCCGACACCTCCGATGTAGAAGATGGCACTGCAGACTTCGGGAATCCGGTTAGTGGCAATCTCCTAAACCACATGAATAAATTTTGCCAGTTGTTATTTTTTCCCTACAGCTTGTATCTTTTGCCTTCTTGCCTCCTTTCAGAATCATAACCTTTGGGATTAGCAATTTAAGCTGTAAAATATGCTTAGAATTTCATTTTATAAGGTATGTTAGTTTATCCAATTGGTACAAATTATGAATTTGAACTGTATTGGCAAATTGGTTCTTACTAACTGTGATCCTAAAAAAAACTTAAAAAAGGATTAGCCTAGTAGCTAGTAACATACAGGTTTAGTGTTTTGTTACAGCAAACTTTTTTTAACAGTACCAGTAACAAAGAATATTTTTTATTTTCACATTCTAAAGTAGTTTCAACAGGTAAAATCTTACATTCAATTTAAATAACTGCTTGTGTTGCATTTTATTGTGGTTTTACTATAACTTTTTCTCTTAGCGAATTTCCCATGCAGGGAATTAGATTTTATTGTAGGATTCATGGTGAAACCTAGACCCGGGACTGATTTAGGTAGGGAGATCTATCTATAATCATATATATGTCTCCGTTAGAATGATAACTGAAGTAAAAATCATCCTATTTTGATGAAATTTGTAATTACATAAAACTCAAAACATAACACTTAGAAATTTGTTTCTGAACCATTTTAATTTTTAGGCTAATTCAAACGTTTGAATTTCTAAATTTTCATTTTATACTAAGCTATCAATTTTTAAGGCTTAAGTTACCGGTACTATAAACACATTTTATTGCCTTTCCTGTAGCGGCTAACCTTAGTACTGTACTCATTAAATTGTTTATTGTTTATTTAAAAGAGAATACATTTGACTACTTTTTAGTACTTTTTAAGTAAATATTGGAGTGAAAATCCAGGCAAATGGAAATTTGCAAAATCTGCAGGTTTGATGATGCGGGGGTATTTTAAAATGAAAGGGATGTATATCAGTGCTCAACATTTTGATTGCATGTACCTATCAAATACATGTAACCGACATCCAGCAACAGACATCCAGTTGATATTTATTTACCAAAAATGTATTATAGCCATTTTGTAGGTAATATAAATACAATTAGTATGTGAAGCAAGCAAGTGTTTCAAATGTTGTTCTTTTTTGTAGAAAATCAGCGAAGAAGATGAAAGGGAGTTAGAAATGTTTATGAGCAAGAATCCAAAGCCACAGTTGACATTAGCAGATGTCTTACGAGAGAAGTTCACTGAGAAACGTACAGAAATACAAACACAGTTCTCTGACAACGGAAGTAAGTTCACAGGCTGTCATTTTCATGACAGCGACAGAAATAATATCATTAATTAGACTAAACCAGAGTATTAATCATACAGATTAACTGCTGGTGCTCCATAATTCATCTATTTTACTTCTAGGAACCGAGGGCATTTGGCTGCTTTCTGTCCTTACCGTCCTTTAGCATAAATGTAGGAATATTTATAATCCATGATTACAATCTTAGTACCGGAAGCTTTTTGTTAGAACTCGTGTGAAATAAAGAGCTTTTACAAAATATTATCTAATAAAGAACTGATTTAATTCTGATAAAGAACAAATATTTTATAACATTTCTATTTAACTAAATTGTTATGTTCTTGATCACTTTCTTAAATTCTTAACACAACTCTTCTCAATTATTTTAAATCAATTAAAATAAACCATCTGTTCATAAAAACAAAGACTAAAAAATTATTATATTGGATGTTGATCATTATTGAATTTGTACTATATAAAATATAACTCGATTTCCAACATCCTCCCCACCTTGGAATTTTGTTTTACACTATCAAAATTTCAAACAAAACTATTTACAAGTTTCAAGTTCACAAGTCCATTTTCCTAATGATTTTTATCTTCCCCCCTCTTCTTATTTCTGTAGGAGTTGATGAATTATCTTCTGTTTCAACATATACAAGCATTGCAAGATACCTTTTCTTAAATCTTGATCTCTTCGATGTTTTCATCATTTTCTCAAGTTGTTTCCACATACTTCCCCACCATGGGGTGCTCGGAGGATCGAACTTCCAAGTTACTTGATGGATTTCAAATTTCTGTTTCGTGGTTTTCCAATCCAACTGCTTCCTGAATTTAATTATACCAGATGGAATTAAATTTACCAAATTTGGTCCTGGAGCAAAACATTTGTTTAAAGAATTACATTTTCTGTTCTTTGTAGACGCATCAAACACTGGTTTTATTTTTGTAGTTAAGCTACTGTCTTTTGTCACTGGGTGATGCAGTAATTGATGAACCGTTGTCGACTCTGCTGGATCTGAAACATTTTCTCTAACACAGCCACTTAATTTGTTGGGAGTATTTAGTCTTTTGCTTGATGACAAATTGACCTCATATCTGTTTCCAACGCTCACTGCTACATTTTCTTTAAACTGTTGAAACACTTCCGCATCAATGGAGTCTCTCTGTTTCACCCCAATAGGATCCCTTCTTCTGATTGTCTCCAAGCTCCCTAGATCTCTGAATTCTGGTTTACTCTGGCAAAATAAAGTTAGAAGAGACGTATTACGACTTCCACTGAGTGGTTGTTTCCCTATCACGGTCCATCCAAGGTACGTTTCAATAGCAACTAATTTGTCGTCAATCCTCTGGATAGTTCCTGTATACAAATCCACTAATACATCTGCACCAAGTAACATTTTTACATCTGGTACATTTTCACCTACATCAGTTAAAATAATGTTCTTTTCTTTCAAGATGTCGAAATACTCTTCACTCTTAAGCCTAGGTACATGGTTGCAAATTGTTTCTTGATCTGTCACAGGAATAGAGATCTTGAAAGAGTTATTTACATTCTGAAGAGTCACTAGGTAATTTTTATGAGATTTTTGTTTTAGATTTACCCCACCAAACAAACTCTGATTAATGACTTCACTACCTGTTTCTTTTAGACCCAATTTAGTGACACAGTCCTTAGTAATGTAGGATCTCTGGGAACCTGGATCCAAAAGTGCTCTTCCCAAATATTCTTTACCTTTATCATCCACAACCTTTACTAAAAGAGTCTGTAATAGAGTTTCTCCTTTACTATTTTCAAAATTGCTGAGAACCTCTGACTTAGGCTTAGGGCTACTTTGCTGTTGTAGATTAGAATCTGGTTTATCAGCATCAATTTTAGATCTACTTTCATACAAGTCCCTACACATGATTCCATAATGCCTTTTACAACAGAAGAGGCATTTTACAAATACCTTACATCTTTTTGCTGTGTGGCCTTGTCTTAAGCATACAAAGCAGCAGTTTTTCTTAGTTAGATGTTCCTTCCTTTCATTTAATGTCAATTGTTGAAATGAGGAACAATCTTGAGCATTATGACCTCCCTTAGAACAGTAAATGCAGTTACTCACCAACCCTTTATGACCCTCTGTACCAGTTGTCAATAGAGCAGCTGCCGTAGGTTGACCCTGACGAGGTTCGTGAACTGCTGACCTTCTCTTTTGGCTGCTACATTTGCTGTTGTTCTCCCCTGGAGTGGCAGATTTAAAACTCGAACGAGCAAGAGCCAGCCTTTCTTCACTCTCCACCTCAGCCTTTAGAAAATCAAGAAGTTCTTGTAAAAAATTACTTGATTTATCATCTGACAATGTAGAAGTTGAGGGTGTGTGTGGTAACTTACTTGAACGATGCCGCTCCCAGGCTCGTAATGTTTCTTCGGGCAAAGCAGATTCTACCAGAGGATACAGCATTGAAGCGTACTTGTCTGAAGTGACTCCTAAAGTTTCAAGTGCCCTTAACTGTGTTTCTAGTTTGTCATACAGTCGGCACAGTTTAGTATTAGTACCTAGCGTTACTTGTTGGAGCACTAAACTGAGCAGTTCCCTCACATATACTTCTATTAAAAAGTCATCCCTACCAAATCTTGCTTTTAATTGTTCTAGGGCCTTTACATAATTAGTTCCAGATGGGGGAAAACTTTCTACTAATTCCCTAGGGGAATTGGATGAGGTATTGGAACTTATCCTCAGGTTCTAGATCAGGATCCTCATGGACCTTCTTAAACTGCCCCCAAAACCCTATCCAATTTTTTACATCTCCATCAAACTGGTTTAATTGTAATTTAGGTAGACTTAACCCCTTCTTAGATACTAATTTAAGACTGTGAACGGTATCTCCGACTTCACTTCTTGACTGTTGGCTTAGGCCAACCTGAATAATGAAATGGTCATACTTAGCTCTCATTGAAGATAACATGTCTCTGTAAGATTCTGTAGTATCAAACTCAGCTTCCAAGTCCTCTTCTTTTGTTGCAGGATCTTCAAACAAGGCTTCCTCGATGTCTTCATCTAGCTTAAAAAGCCTATCAGCTTTATCTTGCAACTTGTTTAGATTACTTTTAATTGCTGCTTCATCTTTAATATCCTCTGCCAGTAATTTATCCATTTCATTACTACACTTTGTAAAAGTCCTTCTTAGTTGAGTCCTTTTTGTCTTTAATGACTTCAGCTTATCCATTGTAAAGTAAAATACAGTGGAGTCCCGATAATCCGAACTTCGGTAATCCGAAAGTCCGCTTAATCCGAAACCAAAAAATAAATTTTTAAAATTTTTTTTTAATTTTTTAAAAAATGTTTGAAATTTTTTTGATTTTTTTTAACTTTTGAAATTTTTTTGAAAACTTTTGAAATTTGTTTTAAAACTTTTGAAATTTTTTTGAAAACTTGAAATTTTTTTGAAATTATTTAGGAATTTTTTAAAAATTTTTGTTTATTAAACTTTTTACACAGTTAGCTGTACCTCGTCAAAGTATTCTGTAGCGGCCGGGCAAGATAGACTTTTTTGTTGAGTATTTTAGTAAATATTTCACAATTTTTGTTATTAACATTTTTTATTTTCGTCCAGGGTTCCAATCCCCCCAAATCACAAATGGATTTTATAAAGTGATAATGCTGCAGCCACTAGGTCTAAGTAATCTAAAAAACAATCCCAACAAATTAAAAAAAAAAAAAAAATTCAAAAATTTCAAAAAAGTAAAAAAAATTTCAAAAATTTCAAAAAATTAAAAAAAAAACAAAAAAACTTTTAATCCGAAATATTCGGTAATCCGAAATGGGCCCGGTCCCAACCATTTCGGACTAACGGGACTCTACTGTATAAGCTTAGTCCTAAATCTGAATTTTAACTATAAAAATGTCCTGTCACGGTCGCCACTATGTTAGAACTCGTGTGAAATAAAGAACTTTTACAAAATATTATCTAATAAAGAACTAGTTTTAATTCTGATAAAGAACAAATATTTTATAACATTTCTATTTAACTAAATTGTTATGTTCTTGATCACTTTCTTATAGCTACTTACATTACAAGTGTAGTAAGAAAGTTGTGCAACGAGCGAAGCGAGTTGCATAATTTACCTAAGTGAGGTAAACACGCTCTTGCGTAACGTGTAACGTACAAGATTTTACCTGACCCGACAATATACAGGAGGTTACGAACAATATTTTTCATTACCCATTTCACTCATCTTATAACAGTAAGGTTCATTTACAAACAAAAGCTAGGTTAGGAAAATTCTCCAAAACATAACAATAACAATAAAATTCAAGCACACAGCTGATTTCTAGTGTTAAACGTCGTCTACATAGAGTTATATTTTTTAAGTTATCCACTCAATGTTATTTAAATGGGTTTCATTACATCACCGAGTGAGTTTTTTGATACTTTACATCACTCGAGAAGTAAGGAAGTTGTATACATCACGCTTAGGATAGGGAAGTTTAACATGACGGGTTAGGTAAAATTCTTAACACAACTCTTCTCAATTGTTTTAAATCAATTAAAATAAACCATCTGTTCATAAAAACAAAGACTAAAAAATTATTATATTGGATGTTGATCATTATTGAATTTGTACTATATAAAATATAACTCGATTTCCAACACTTTTGGTATATCCTCTCCCAAATATTTATTGTTTTATAAATACATTGTATCATTTGACTACTGTAATGGAATTTTTGTCCCTAATCTTTCCCCTTTTGAAAAATATTTGTAATATTATGTAGTCTATTTGATCTAAATTACATGTTTCACTATCTTGATCATACCCTAATATATTTTTTAAAGGCATTCAAGTTGAAAACATTGACCCACGAGTACGAAAGATGTATGAAGGGGTGAGAGATGTGTTAGCAAAATACCGAAGCGGAAAACTACCGAAAGCATTCAAACTTCTACCTAAAGTGAGAAACTGGGAACAACTTTTGTACATTACAGGTTTGATATTTTTTGTATGCTGTATCTTATAACAAAGAAAAGTAAGGAAACACATTTTGAAATAGTTTTGTGTAGTAAAAAGTTGTTAGAAAGGTGTTTTTCCATTTTAGGAATTTTGTTCTGATGCAGTGTGGTGTACTATTAGTTTTGTAAGGATGTTTACTTTGGTTTTCATAGATTATTTATGAATGTAAAATTTACTGACCAAGGTGGAGGAGTTAAGTGGACCAATCTTAAAGAGTGCTATAGCGCAAGGGTAGTTTAAATAAGCTAAGTATATTTTGATTCTCTTTTTCCATTGAACACTTTGTGTTATGTAGATTTTTTGTATTTTGCATTTTGGCTGTTTTAAGGTTACTAATTATTAATTAGTTATTAGAATATAGGCTACCTCATAGAAATGGTTGAAATAGATAAAATATACTTAAATATTATATTTGTTGAGAACAGGTAATTTTTCCGCAGTTTAGACCTTGTATGAAATCCTTACATTGTTTTTCCCTTCTTAATAATTGAGGGTGTGTGTCTTAGTTTATTCTCAGTGTGTTGTTTGTTTTTGAACATTTTTTGATGGAAACGTTGCTTGATGACAAAAATAAATAATTCTGAAGACGTATTAAGTCATAATTGGCAACATACCTTGGTAAGGGTACTACACAAAATTTGTAACAGTTTGAAACATAAATTTTTATAATATTCAAGGTAATTACTGTGAAAATCCCAATTGAAACCAACGCTTTCCTGAAAACCTGAAAATGTCATGTATTTCCATCGTTTTTGTCAATATAACTCACATATTGGCTCTGCTCTAACTTCTGCAGATCCCGAACGGTGGAGCGCAGCTACGATGTACATGGCAACGAGAATCTTTGCGTCCAATCTGAAGGAGAAGATGGCTCAGAGGTTCTACAACCTGGTGCTCTTGCCTAGAGTGAGGGACGACATTGCTGAGTACAAACGACTCAACTACCACCTCTACCAGGCTCTGAGGAAGTCTCTCTTCAAACCAGGAGCCTTCATGAAGGGAATATTGCTGCCCTTATGTGAGGTACGTTAATCTGATAAATAATACTTCTGAAATTTGCTTATTACCAATCGCATCATTATTTTTACATTAGTTACAAAAAATCTTTTGTTTCAGTATTGCAATTTTAAATAGGCCCATAAATAAATATATATATTTTTTAAATCTATGTTTAACCATAGACAAATAGAATAAATATAGACCGGCAGCTGTGCTGCGGTTAGAAGAAGTTTTGGCGTCCACCGCTAGGGTTTGCCGTGTAGTTACAGGCTGCAGCGTCTGCTGGTCGCATACGGCTCCTGCGCTCCCCGCTTGCTGCGGTGTGCGCCGTAACTACTCGGCAAACCCTAGCGGTGGGCGCCTTCCTTTGGCAGTCTACATTTATTCTATTTGTCTATGGTTTAACTTACGGCTGTGAAACCATTTTTGCTTTTCAATGAATGTTTTACAAAAACCAATTTTCCAAAAAATAAAAGTTATTACAAATCCTTCTATTAAGTAACTTTGATGTATATGATTTTAGTAAAATAAGTTATGTAAGTACTGGTTTATAACATTGATGTTGAATCGGTTACATTTGATTATATGTTAGCGAATTTCCATATAGGGAAGAAACTATAACTGTTGGCGGCATGGTAAGACCTAGACCCGGGACCGATTTACTTTTTGATTTTGATGTCCCCAGTGGCCAAAAACACTATTAGTTCAAATAGTTATTGTATGTATTCCAGAGCGGAACATGTACGTTGCGGGAGGCGACCATTGTAGGCTCAGTGTTGGCTCGTAACTCAGTCCCGATGTTACACTCGGCAGCCACATTGTACCGCCTTGCTGAGATGGACTACACAGGAGCCAGCAGCATCTTCCTTAGAGTCCTGCTGGACAAGAAGTACGCTCTGCCTTACAGAGTCATTGACGCCGTCGTCTTCCACTTCCTCAAGTAAGTTTTAGGGCATTTTAATGTGTAATTTAACCCTGTGCGGTCGAATGGCGAGTATAGATCGCCGCTCGCCATTTTCCCAACTGATGGAAAATGGCGATCTATACTCATAAAAACAAAAAAATTAATAAGTTGATCTTTGCGGTCGAATAGAGAGTATAGGTAGTCGCGCGCCATTTTCCTGACTGCTTGAATGGCAACCTATACTCGCTGAAAAAAGAAAAAAAATTCAACCTCAAAGCTTTAAGGGATTTTACGGACTTTTCCATGACGTATACTAAAAAATAGGTTTTCTTGAGATTTTAGGATCTATATAAATAAAATTACAGTTTTGTCTGTACATTGCTTAGAATCATGCAGTTTTTGGTTATTTTTACGTTTCATAGCCTAAGAAAGCCGAAACGAGTCTTATCTCAATTTCTGTCTGTATGTCTGTTTGTCTGTCCATTCTGTGGTTGCGTCTGTAACGCCAAAATGTCATTTTACGCGGCCTACTCCTAGAAAACTAGAGTACCGATCAAGGTTCTAATCATTTGTCTGTATTTACTGGATTGGTGAGAGTGTCTTTGGCTATAAAAACCTGGCCTCGCTTCTTTGAAAACAAAATAACGTGTTATAAAAAACCCAATTTTGTTCGATTTTTGTCAAATTTTCTCCTAATGTTTACTATTACATTTGATGAAATAACGATCAGCTGTTTGGATTAGTTCTCACTTCTAGCTGTCACTGATATGTTTACAGTAAAAGTTGTTTACAAATACCACAACCATTCCCGATCAAGTTTTGTTAGCACATCCAAACCAAGTGAGATTAAAAACGTTGTGCCTTACAAAAAAGGTTTCCACTCATTGACGGCGCTTCAAGGACAGTTGTGTAAAGTGCAAAGTAAAAAATCACAACTGCAGTGGGTGACTGGGTGATCGTGGATGTTGCTGCGATCTTGGAAGATCTTTCTGATTTTGCTGTGATCGTAACTGAGGTTTAACTTACAGATGTAGCTAAACTCGCTTTTCCAATGTATAACTTTTGGTTTTTACTACTTACATTTCGACAACGATATCGGTACTTTTCCTACTTAGGAAGTAAAACTACAAATGTCCAAAACCCCAGATTTGTGCGTTTTTTTCACATTTCCTCCGAATGTTTGCTAGATATATGTACCAATTATCGTTTAGAGAGAGATTACGTAATCTTTTACATAAGAAACCTTTGTTTGGATTCTTTTCTGTCAATTTTTGGTGGTTTCTTCAAACTGTCATTAATATGTTAACATTGAAAGTTGCTTACAAATAATGCTATTAATGGGAAATAACTTTGATTCTCGAAAACTTAAAAGACATTTAAAACCATGGGAGATTAATAACTTCGGTACTGCACCACATCAAGTGAAAGTTTTTTTTTAGCAAACCATAGTGAGTTTGAAAGCTTTACGTTGTTAACGTTACATGTTACATGTTTTGTGGCCTGTGTATTTATTTATTTATATATTTTCCAACGGATTAACACCTATATAAAACAGTTTGATTAGAAGGAGAGTTTGAATTGGTTGTAAGTACTATAGTTCTTTTCTTAAATGTAAACGTTGGTTTATGGTACTGCTACTTTTCCTTAGAACCGGTGGTAGCAGTAAGAATCATTTTTATGTAGAAACACATCACTATTTACAACTATAGTTATCGTAAGTGCTGCACCGTATTTCTTATTAAATTTAATTGATGTCCTACTGTAGGCTATAATTTTTTCGTTTTCTGTCTGGACTCCAAAATGTTAGTTTATGCTATGAAATGATAAAACATTATTGAAAGATTTTTTAGCAAACCATCATGAATTTTTAAAGCTTGGCGTTGTTAACGAATAAATTTTTTGTGGACTGTGTATTTAAAACTGTCAGTTATTGTATTTGCGAAGGTTTATGTGTAGGTATTCCTATACAGTGATAGTTTTGCCAGCATATCTGGAAAAATGCACACTAAATATGCAAACCAACTCCTGTTCTGAATATAAGGTTTCAACTTCCTACAAGATTCCCGTACGTAGAACGGGCAAACAGCTAGTCTGAAATATAGAAACAAAAAATCCTTAAAGAAAATAATTAGGCCCAGTAAAAACAGAAGTAGGTAAACTCAGTTTTGTTTTAGCGAATTTCCCTATTAAGTAGCTATTACCGTAGGTGGCACGGTAAGTCCTAGACCCGGGACCGATTTACTTTTTCTTTTTGATGTCCCCAGAGGCCAAAAACACCAATTGTTCAAATTTTTATATATATATATATATACATTATTTTCTTGCATTTTTAGGGCTACTAATATAATAAAATTAAAACATATATAACAAAGTACCCTTTTAGTAATTATTTTATTTTTCATGACGACATGTTTCGGAACTAAGTCCATTGTCAAGTCATTTTTACCATAACCTCATTCTTTAAACTAACAAAATTAAAAATATAATCATATGTAAAAATAATAAAATATGTTAACTAAATCTTAATACATTTTGGTATTAATTTTTTTCATTATACTATATGAATGTTTATCTTTCTTTCCTTAGTTTTTCAATTTTATCGTAGATAGGTTGGTTTAATTTTGGAATCATTGTGTTGAGTATGTTGTTGGGGTTCTTTTTGTTGTGTGTATAAATATTTAGCTCTTCTTTTACATTAAGTTTCTCACTTTCTTTTTCAAATTCTAAAATTGTTAGATTTTCTTTCATGTTTTAATAACTGTGGTCTGTTTTCATTATATGGTCGGCGAAGTTCGACTTCATTGATGTTTGATTTTTTGATTTCAATGCTTGTAGATGTTCCTTGAATCTTGTTTTAAAACTTCGAGATGTTTGACCTATATAATAATTGCTACAGTCACTACAGTTTATCTTATAGATTCCTGATTTGTTGTACTTTTCGTCTTCATTATCTTCTGTGTGTTTGATTTTTTTATTGATTAATTGGAATATATTGTTCTTAGTTCTGTAACTTACCCTTATATCCGAATTTTTAAATGTATTTCTTACTGCTTTAGTCATATATTTGTTATAAGGTATACATATATATTTCTTTTTCTCTTCATTTTCCGTTGTTTTATTTTGCTTTTGTATTTTGTTTTTCAATTTCTTCTTTATCATATTGTCTATCATTTTTGCCCTGTAGCCATTTTTCTCTGCTAAGTATTTAATGGTATTTTTCTCTTTTTTGAAATTTTCTTTATTCAAGGGAATATTAATAAGTCTGTGGATAAGTGAATGTAAAGTAGCGATTTTATGACTCCAAGGATGATTAGAATAGTATGGAATAATGATGTCTGTGGTCGTAGGTTTTCTAAATATGTTAAATGTATGTCTGTTGTTATTTTTTGAGATTGTAATATCTAGAAAATTTATTTGTTGTTTTTGAATATCTCCTGTAAATTGTATTTTTGGAGATAGGCTACAGGGCAAAAATGATAGACAATATGATAAAGAAGAAATTGAAAAACTAAATACAAAAGCAAAATAAAACAACGGAAAATGAAGAGAAAAAGAAATATATATGTATACCTTATAACAAATATATGACTAAAGCAGTAAGAAATACATTTAAAAATTCGGATATAAGGGTAAGTTACAGAACTAAGAACAATATATTCCAATTAATCAATAAAAAAATCAAACACACAGAAGATAATGAAGACGAAAAGTACAACAAATCAGGAATCTATAAGATAAACTGTAGTGACTGTAGCAATTATTATATAGGTCAAACATCTCGAAGTTTTAAAACAAGATTCAAGGAACATCTACAAGCATTGAAATCAAAAAATCAAACATCAATGAAGTCGAACTTCGCCGACCATATAATGAAAACAGACCACAGTTATAAAACATGAAAGAAAATCTAACAATTTTAGAATTTGAAAAAGAACGTGAGAAACTTAATGTAAAAGAAGAGCTAAATATTTATATACACAACAAAAAGGACCCCAACAACATACTCAACACAATGATTCCAAAATTAAACCAACCTATCTACGATAAAATTGAAAAACTAAGGAAAGAAAGAAAAACATTCATATAGTATAATGAAAAAAATTAATACCAAAATGTATTAAGATTTAGTTAACATATTTTATTATTTTTACATATGATTATATTTTTAATTTTGTTAGTTTAAAGAATGAGGTTATGGTAAAAATGACTTGACAATGGACTTAGTTCCGAAACATGTCGTCATGAAAAATAAAATAATTACTAAAAGGGTACTTTGTTATATATGTTTTAATTTTAATATATATATATATACGTCCGTGAACGCGATAACTTGAGTAATTTTTGTCCGATTTTGATGAAATTTGGTTTAAAGGTGTTAAGCGGGATAAACTTGAATGAGTTTGCGAACCAGCATGATCGGACAATGGGAACGGGGCTTTACGGGGGGTTTTATGGGGTAAAAATTGGTTTTTCTCACTTTTGACTCTCAAAACACAAAATTTCCCAATTTCTCTTTAGACCTTTTTAAAGAGCTTAAAAAAACAAATAATTTAGTATATACAAGTATTTTTGTTCGGTTATTAGTAACGGAGAAAATTAAAAAAATTGTAAATTAAAAATTTCTATGTTATTCATATGGAGAATATTGTCAAATGTTGTAGTTTGCTTGTTTGTGGATATAATTTGATAAAACTTGGCAAATTTATTTATTTTGTACTAAGCTATTAATATTTTACTAAAAAACACACTTTATTAGTTTTCTTGTAGCAGCAAACCTAGGTACTCGTTAAACCTAATGTTATTAAAATATAGCCTATTTAATTGAAAATCAATTCAGACAAATGGAAATTCGCTTAGTCAGCAGGTTTGCTGCAGCGGGGGTATTTTTTCTTCTTGTTGTCGACACCAATGGCATTTTTACCATAGAGGCAAAGTTCAGTGTACCGGCTTTTAGGGCAAGTAGTCCAAATACATATGTTTGTGGATGTGCCCAGTCTGTCTCGCACCAAAATCTGAGACGCTAAGCACAAGGCTAGCAACACACTCAATGTATTCTCTGGTTTTGTTAGGACTCTCCAGCTTTGGGTTTGTCTAATCATCTTGTTATGTTGAAGGTAGACTACTGTTTGTGTAAAAACCATTTAATCAATTATTATTGTTTTGTTCAATTAACAGGTTTGAGAAGGACAAACGAGAGTTACCTGTTCTATGGCATCAGTCTCTCCTCACATTTGCTCAAAGGTAAACAACTTTACATGATTATAAATAGGATTTACTGAGTCGCTGACAGACCTGGTGCGTACTCTTAAGTAAACATTTTGTTCATGATTTGATTTACTAAAAAATAATGTTTAGCAAACCAAACACGGTAGTATCTCGCTAGTCTGGCTGTCTCCGTACTAGACCTTGGCTGGACTAAGAAATAGCAGTGTCAATGAGACACCTGTAATTAACAGTACTTTTACCAACTCGTTACATCTGTTTTGGGTAATTTACCCTAAACTAGGCACCTTAAAATCAACGTTTATAACAATATCAAAGATTGTTTTCAACAGCGACATTTTTCTGTTCAGGTACAAGAACAACATCAGCTCGGAGCAGAGAGACGCTCTGCTAGCCTTGCTGCGTACACAGACTCATGCAGCCATCACACCAGAGATACGCAGAGAGCTGCAGAGTGCACAGTGTAGAGACCTGGCTGTGACAGAGCCGGTCCCGCAGCCCATGGAGTAATAAACATGTTCTGTTCTACTTGTGTATCTGATCAGTGCCTGACCTCATCAACAATCTTCCCAATGTACCCTACTCATCTAGGTTTAGACTGTAAAAAAGTGTATTTTGATCCACTATAAAACACCGTTATCAAATATAAATAGCATTGTGCAAAAAATATGGTGGCTCATCGGGTAAGTTTGAGTTTTGGTAATTTTTAACAAGATATTTTGGTTTGCCTTTGGAACGCCTTAAAAGCTTGATACAGAGGTTGGGGCATAATGTATATATGTTTGAGTGCAATACTTGTGTGAGTCAGCCGGCTAAAGGTACGTTGTCACTGGTGCGGCTGGAACTGCAATCGTTGGACGACAGCCGTTGAACGATAAACGTAGAGTGACTGCTTAGCATTGTTTTCAATGGCACCGTTGTCACTGACGCGACTGTAGCCGCAGTCGTAGACGACTATCATACGGGTCTGCTCCTGGAGCAGTCTGAGTCGCAGTCGTTGGACGATTTTTGATGCATTCACGGATTTTTATTGTGTGATAATACATTATTGCCATCATCACTTATGAGTTAAGTTAACTCCTTACAATAAAATACAATACAATTAATTGTATACCGAGATATATACCTATATACCTATATATTATACCTATAATGCCTATATATAAACTTTGTATAACTTAAGTCAAGTTTTTGTTTTCACCATTGTATTCATCAAGCTTAAAAAAACAAACAATTTACTGCTTTCAATTATTGCTTTAGGTCAATTTGTTACCGAGATATTAAAAGTGCAAAATCTATTGATATTTTCATACAAAAAACCATTAATTTTGTGATCCTTATTGCAGCAAACCTGTATACTCAGCCCAATTATATTCTTATAGAGAATAAATAAAATGTTATATGTATACCTATAGCGATATATTTTATAACATTTTAATTATTCTCCATAAGAATGATATTGGGGCTTAGTACGCAGGTTTGCTGCAACAAGGATCACAAAATTAATGGTTTTTTGTATGAAAATATCAATAGATTTTGCACTTTACCATAATAATGCATCAAAATTACAGTAGGCGTACGGTAATTTTTGATGCATTATTATGGTACTTGGTAAGTGGATTTATGTGGCATTAAGACACACATAATTGCATTGGAAACTCCCTGAGTACGCAGGTTTGCTTTGACTGGGGTATTATTTTGTTTTTATTCTGGACAAGTTTTCTTCTGAAAAAATACTGTAGTATTTTAATTGTTTATTACCTGAGTAGACAAATTTAACGAGTATAAATAAACTACCCTTCCTTAACGTAAAATCAAAATTCTCATCTCCTGTGATTGGAGAGGTAATGTAGTTAGAAAAGATCCTCATTGATAAAACTAGACAAAAACTTAAAACTGACATTTTGAAAGTCTGAAAACATTCTCTCATCAGCTTGCAATTGTTCGTTTCTTAATATTCTGAAGTAGCCCTCTTCTGTTACTTTTGTAACTATACTATGTATTCTAAGTCGTGGAACATTTATCATTTCCTAAAATTTTTAATCTCCTAGATCTTCAACTAAAAAATAACTGAATAGTGTCTTCTTTATTTGAGCTCATCCATTACTATCACTACTTCAACTCTGTAGCAGCCAAGGAGCAACCGAACGATTGTATAATAATCACACCAGTGACAATGCCTACTGCAACGATTATTGCCGAGCGATAATCGTCCAACGATGATTGTCCAACGACTGCAGTTCCAGCCGCACCAGTGACAACGTACCTTAACTTGAGTAATAAATTATATCACAAAACTGACACATACTTTCTCCCATTAGCTTGTCAACAATCTATATCTATATAGAGGGGTGCAAAAGTAGGTATACAGTTTTAGTTGGTTGGTAATACCCAAGTTAGCCACCTGATCAGCTGCGTAGTAAGTTTGCTACTAACAGCTGGCAATGTCTTCTCATTGTTACTGTTGTTATTATTACACTTCTGTCATCATGGCTGGTTACATGACCAACGATCAACGAAAGTGGGTTTTGAAAGAATATTGGAAGACAGAAAACTGTGAAAGAGTTCGAGAGAGATGGAGAGAAGAGTTTGATGTTCAAAGCCCAAAAAAGTCAAGAAAAGGCATCAATTGAACTGGGCATTGAACGCAGATCTTTAGGACGCCTAATGAAACGGTCAGGTTTGAAAATGTACATTCCAAGACTTACTCATGGGCTACTGGAGGACAACCCTGATTGTCGACTGCAGTTTTGCGAGATAATGTTAAACAAGGAACTTCAAGGTGCGGGAATTATTCAAAAAATTATTTGGAGCGATGAAGCTAATTTGAAGCTTTCATAGGTGCCGTCAATTGACACAACTGTGTGTCTATTACTGTTTTGACAATCCACACTTGACATTCGAAGAACAGCAGAATCAACCTGGAGTAACAGTTTGGGCTAGCATTTCATGTAAAGGTGTCATTGGACCTGTCATTTCTTCTCATAACACTGTAGACCAACGTGCATACAGGAACATGCTGACTGACGTTGTACCACAAATCAAAATCCAGCAGAGTAATGAGGAATTCTACTTCCAACAAGATGGAGCTCCTGCCCACTATGCCACAATCGTGCGTGACCTACTAAATCGGGAGTTTCCTAACTCGTGGATCGGTTGAATGGCCAGCAAGATCTCCCGATCTGACACCGATGGATTTTTTTCTTTTGGGGAGTTGTCAGAGACAAGGTGTTATCGAAAAAACCTCGTGATCTTAATCAGATGGTTGAATTCATTCGCCAAGCTTGCCAAGACATAGATGAAAATAAAGAACTTTGCCGAAAAGTGTGTTTAAGCGTAACTTCAAGGTTACACCAGTGGGGTGATATATTACATCAAACATAGGTAGTGTTCAAAGAGGTCCTGTGAACATTTAAAAAAGTATATAGCTTAACATTATATTTTGAAAAGGTTAATATGTAAACCCAAAACCCACATCTATTCCTGAAGTAAGGACCCATACTTAAATCAATGACGCACTTACTACGCAGTATTAACTGGATGTTGTGTTCTTCAATAAGCCGGATTTGAGAAGGATTGGATTCAGTGCGAATGCTTTGCACGGGTCGGCTAGTCCTTATAAAGGGTAAAAGCACAGTAAAAGCGATGGGAATCATTATGATATCATTTTATTCTTTATTTCATAAAATGTACATTTTGGTACATGAAATAGTGTCTAGTTTCTTATCTAAACTGCTCTAGTACATTGTGGTAGTCCAAAACATAAAATATTTTATGGGGAAGATTACAAAAATTGCAATCACTTTTGAAACGTAGGTTTTACAGCATTTGAGGTTGTACCCTTTTGTTTACAGTTGAAAGGACCATATACTAAAAGTGTATATACACACAAAATGGGTTGGAAAATGTTATGTTTTGATAGTCCAGGAGCTGAGGAGCATGCATGAAAGTAGTACGCAATGTTATTGCTGATTATTGTAATATGGACTATGGTGATCAAAATATTACGTATGTCGCCTATTTCAAAAGTGGTCGATCAGGTGGGGGGAGGGGGCAAACATGGCGGGGCGCGCTTTGCGTTAAAACGCTGATATTTCGAAAACTTCAAAAGATAGAACATCGGTTAACATGGGCATACGGGAGGGACGATGGCTAAAGGTGTGGTGACGTCATATCCATATTGACTAATGTTTTCTCTTGAGGCAACACAATTACCGTAAAGAGACATTGGGTCGCCGGAAGACTGCCCCCCGGAAAACTACCCCCCCCCCCAAACAGGTTTCTACGTCATATTGACGTCAGAGACCGGGGGAGCAGTTTTCCAGTCACGGACACTCAAATTTAGTTGTCAAACAGTTCTAATCCAACCTAACCTAACCAACCAAACTTGCTGTAACATTTCGAAATTCTGTTTTATATTCACAACATGACTTTTCTATTATCCAATGGAATTACTCGAATTAAAATTAAAATTAAATAGCATGATTTGTCTAGGGGGTATAGTATTCCAGTCGCGGACACGGCTTCCATATTGGTTAGTTGGCAGATTTTGTGACGTCACGTTTCACCTGGGGGGGTAGTTTTCCGGGGGATAGTATTCCGCATCCCCGAGACATTGACATTGTGATTCCAGCGGCAGCGGCGGTCGTGACATGGTAGCGTTTCGGACTAGTGTTCAGGAGGTCTCCAGTTCGAAACCAGCCGGGGACACTATCTATTTGCCAAAGATTTTGCTTTGAATGCGACTACTTCTTAACTTAGAATTTGAAGCATTTATAATTTTATTTATGAACAGAACTTTTTTTTAATAGTAAACCTTTATTCGATTTTTATCTTATATATTTTTTTTATTATCAGGAAGTTGGGTTGGTTAGGTTAGGTTATGATAGTTTAATTTTATAATGCTAAATTTTAAAATTAATTTTATGATAAAAAGTTGTAATTAAACATTCATTTGATTTTTATCTTATAGGTATGTTTTTATTTTATTAGCAAGTTTGGTTGGTTAGGTTAGGTTATGATAGTTTAATCTTACAATAAAAAATTTATTAATTAAAAAGTTAATTTTATAGCTAAAAATTATAAAATTATTTCAATTTTTTTAACTTGGCGGTTCTAACGGCGAACGCTGACACTACTAGATATGTTAGCCATAATCCCTCCCGTGTGCCCCACCGCTGACTCTACTACCCTACAACCATTAAGAACACTCTACTATTATTTTTTATTCTGCTTTCGCTTTTTACTTTCTGCAATGTGAACAAGTGGTGCGGGAGCGGGGTAGTGTAGTTTTGTCTATTTTATTGTCCATTCTCATTCGCTAATCGCTATTATTATTTATTTTGTGGATGTGGATTAAAATAAACAGTGTTAATGTTAAATAGAGGTGCAAGACTAGTTGCGCTTTTGCACAGGAGACTTTCGAGATTTTAAGTGATTCCTTTCTTCAGGAATAACCTTTGTCTTGAGAATAAGGTAAGCCAAATTCCTGAGTTTTTTTAAAACATGTTATGTCTTTAGTTTTGAATTGTCTTTGTTGGCATTAAACAGTCACATTCTGACCTCCAATTAATAAGGTAGGCCTACCATAATTTATTTTAGGCGTTGATTCTGCTAGGTGTTGGCCTACTAGAAACCAAAATATAACCTAGAATAGGCCTAGGCCTATTGAAGGGGTTCAAATCACAGCGAAGACTTAAAGAACAATTTGTACGGCTACTAATAAGGTAACAACTATTTTAATAAGCTAAGTAACTAATTGGCATTTCAGTTAAGCAAGCAACCTAATAGGCTAACTTACTGTTTACATAGAATACAAGTTAAAATTGTGGGGTACAGTTTCTTAACTGGGCTATGCTAATATCGATTGAGACTATCGATTCGATAAGTAAACCTTCATGCGATTTTTTAACCATCAGCAAGTTTGGTTGGTTAGGTTAGGTTATGATAGTTTTATTTTATAATTACTTAGATAGGCTATATTTAAAAATATTGATTATTAATCAATATTTTCAATTCGATAGTTTCAATCAATATTAGCATAGCCCAGTTAAGAAACTGTACCCGAATTCTGGAATCCAATAATAGGCCTGGGCCTGTTAGCTACATAAGTTGACTTACTCTCCATAATTCACACAGTCCAAGTTAATGATCTTACCTTCTAAACCCCAGATAGGTTTCAAGATACTTCCCTAACTTAGCCTATATTATTGATTGGACTCAGGCCTAACCCTCCAACTGACAACGTGACTATAATAATCGCGGTGGGTGGTTTCTGTAGTGGCAGCCCGGGGTAGACTTCCATATCTGTTGGCACAAACAACCGAATGAAAATATTGATTACGGTATTCGATTGTTTCATTCGATATCGTTCGGTTAGTTAGGTTAGGTTAACCTTACTTAACAGCCCGACTAACTTATAATATCTGTCACGTTTTTTAACTAAAAAATAATGGTTTTAGTCAAAACAACTGTAAGTTAAAATGGAATAACTTAATGTTCATAGGAAGGCTACCGATTGAAAGGTAAGATTCTAAACTTGCATTGTGTTACATAGATTCAAACTTTACCTCACAAGATACTGTAATTTAAGTTTGAAACATCACTTTTTGTAGAAGTTAGAACTAGGCTACTGTTACTAAGGCCTAAATTATTTAATTCCCCCCATTCTTATTAACCTTGTAGCCTACAATAACATAAGTTAGGTACCGTACCTACTAACTTACTGGTAAGTTTTTAGTCTACATCCAGTTCTGACAATTAAGTTTCAATTGGACACATTGGTAACTTATTGGTCAATATGAGCCAATGTTCAGTACTGTAGGGTCATAGTCACAGTGAAACAGTTTTACTTCCTACAGTTTATCCAACAGTTTACCTTTTTGGTCAGCAGGGCCGCCTCGAGGGCGATAGACGCCCAGGGCGTGATTTTTATCTGTCCCCTCCCCTAACAGAGATATTTGGGGTTTTTGCATCAACAGAACCAACGTCTTTTAAGTTTTTTTTTACAAACCCTATAATATGAATCTACCTATTTCTAAGATTGACTTATTAGTACGAGTTGTACATTAAGTTATAGTCATAGTCATAGTTCTTTATTCATTTTTTTGTACATAGTTTGTATGGTAAGTTACAGTAGAGTGCCGGTCATTCAAAATGAAAACTCATATCTTACTGCCACTCGAACATTACGAGAGCGGACGGCAACGCTTCGTGCGAAACTGCACAGCACCACAGACCATAGACCATTAAACTTATAATTGGTTTTAGAGTCGGTGTACACATCACCTCACTTTGTGTCATCTTACTCGGTCACGGACAATCAATTCTCGATACCGATACCAACGTCCTAGTATCGGTGGTATCGAGAATCAAAACATCCTTACTTAGCCTATAACGTTAAATATTTTCCTTTTCTTGGCCACTTTGCTACCTCGCTACGGGCGCCCCCTGGCCGTGGCGCCCCGGCCCTTTTTGGTCAGACTTTAGTTAAGGCCTGCTGTGAGGCACACGACACAACACACAAGCCAAATTTTGTGTGGGCCAAGTCATTCAGCACAGTAAGTAAGTATCCATGTAGCCTTCTATATTTAATTACTATTTTTTTTCTTTTTTTCTAAGAGGTTGGCGGCCTCTTTTAACCTTGCATTTGCCCGTCCACATAGACTAACTGCCTGTGCGTGGAACGTTTACAGCAAAGCAAGGAGTGAGCCGGTACAGTACAAAGGTGAACTGTACTGATATACACTAAAAATATATGTTAGTGGCAGTGACCAGGATCCGAACCCACGACATCGCTGCCTTGGCCCGAAGTCCGCGACGCTACCGACTCACTAATATTTATGCCATTTCCTTCTTGAAGGTCGTTTAAAACTTACTCCACTTGTGATTGCTATAGACATGGCATTTTCAGAAATTTATTTGAAACATTTTTAAGAGTAGGCCTAGGCCTTATGACTGACAAACTATCCGAAACAAAATCATTAAGTTTAAGTTTCTAGCAAATCAAGATTGAAATAGCGGCCAACGAGAGAAATTGAGGATGGAACAGGGATTCCAATTTTTTATAGTAGGCTACCGGTAGGTCGAATTATCTTCAGCCTAAATTATAATTTCACTGTTTCGTCAAAAATAAAAATTATTACCAACCTAGTTCCAACAACAAAATCGTTAAATATGCCAATGGTGTAGATGTGAATCATTTTTACAAGAAAGAAAATAACATGCATCTAACTTCAATTTAAAACAAAACATTTCAGTGTTTCTTTGATGTTATGTGTTATGTAAGATACCGGTACGGTACATAGGCCTACTTTAATAATTTTATGTACGGATATGGGTTGTTAAACTGATGATTGAAAATCTAACTTAATCATTGAATTCCCGGAACATTTAAAATTCCATTAATAATAGTGTGTTTGAATACGTAAGTTGTCCTGAAAGGAAAGTACTCTTCATCAAAATAATAATCTTGAATTTTAACTTAATGATGGTTATTAAGTTGACTATATTTATTGGTATTTAACATTTAAGGGGACTGTGACTGAAAAACTAATCGAAAATTGAAAAAAAAATTTCTTATCCTTTTGAAGTTTTTTTTTTTTATGTTAGGCCTATGTCGTGTTATTACTGTAAAAAAAGTTTAATTAGGTAGGTAGGCCTACTAATTTTTTATGGAAAAAAAGTAATTTTTGAAAATTTCAAAAATAACCCTTAGAGTAAATATATTTTTATAATCTTCTATGTAATAATAGGCCTAATTAATAGGCTAAATGACAAGTAAAATGGAATAATTTAGTAAATTGTTAAATTTTGGAACTCAATTAAATAGCAACAGTTATTTTGAAACTTTTTTAAATAGATTTTTGTTCAAATTGGTCTTGATTGCAAATATGTTCAAATGGATGCTGGTCAAGACAGGTTTGATCCAGTCGTAATCAAAATGACAGAACCAGTACTACTGGTACTATCTCACCTATAAAAACACAAAATATGCGCTGCAAGCAAATGTTGATTTTGAGTTCTGGAGACCCTCAAGAAAATTTAACTTAATGTGGTTAAACCTAGGGTGTGACCAGGAAGACTGCATTCGGCTATAAGTCCTCTTGAGAAAGTAGCTAAAAACAAATAAACTATAGAGATACCTAAATAGTTTCTTTTCCAAACAATATCCAAATTTAATTACAATTTTTTTTAATACAGCAGCCTAGGCTTTTTGTTACATATGTTACTAATGTTTTTTAATAGCTATTTACATTACAAGTGTAGTAAGAGCGTTTTTACATCACGCAGGTGAATGTTGTGCAACGAGCGAAGGCGAGTTGCATAATTCACCGAAGTGATCTAAACACGCTCTTGCGTAACGTGTAACGTACAAGATTTTACCTGACCCGACAATATTCAGGAGGTTACGAGCAATATGCTTCATTATAAATTTCACTCATCTTCTAACAGTAACGTTAATTTACAAACAAAAGCTTGGTTAGGAAAATTCTTCAAAGCATAACAATAAAATTCAAACACACAGCTGATTTCTAGCGTTGAACGTCGTTGGCTCCATAGAGGTATATTTTTTAAGTTATCCACTCAATGTTATTTAAATGGGTTTCATTACATCACCGAGTGAGTTTTTTTCAACTTTACATCACTCGAGAAGTAAGGAAGTTGTATACATCACGCTTGGGATAGGGAAGTTTAACATGGCGGGTTAGGTAAAAGAAATTTCACCCATCGTCTTGAATTTTAATGATGGTTATTAAGTTGACTATATTTATTGGTATTTAACATTTAAGGGGACTGTGACTGAAAAACTGATCAAAGATTGAAAAAAAAATATTTTTTTATCCTTTTGAAGTTTTTTTTTATGTTATGTCGTGTTATTATTGTAAAAAAAGTTTAATTAGGTACTAGTTTTGTATGGAAAAATAGTAATTTTTGAAAATTCCAAAAATAACCCTTAGAGTAATATATTTTTATAATCTTCTATGAAGGACTAGATAAACATTCTATCTTAAAAAAAAATAAGGCTATATCTCTTATAGTTCTCTCTAGGCCTATATATAGCATATAGTTAACATTATATTATATGGGCAGTCATAGTCCCCTTACGGAGGTAGATCTTCTTATATAGGCTAACTGAACAAAATGAGTAGGCTATAACACAACCCATTGGGCCTGTACCAATAGCAGCACCAATAAAAAAGTAATTATTACAAAGTAGTCTGTAAGATAAATCTTGGAGGGGCCCAAGAGTTGTTTATTGCCATGGTTACTGCTATAGACAATAGAGAAAGTAGGAGGAGCGAATTACAAAACGGAGTCTGTTGAACTTCCTGCTTCAGCTTCCTGGGTCTGGTTTCTCATTAGGGTCTGTTTGTATTCCAGTTTGCTGCATTCCCACATGCAATCAGATACTGAACAAGCTGTTTAATGTGTATACCAGTCTAGATGTGAGATATTTTTACAGTGATACATCACAAAGCAGTTTACTGACATGTATATATTTTTGTTTCATTGTAGTTCTTTGGAAAATGATAATCTGGGGCATTAGTGCAATTTATGTATTTTTATAAAAATTTTATACTGGTACTGCTGTGAGTAAAACGATTATGCCAATCTGTATTCTTATTGAGTCTTATGATTTCACCATAAGATTGTGAATCTATTTAAGGAAACTTAATACAGTAGGCCACAGGTCTTTTGGGAAGTTAACAGAAGTATCCTAGCTTTGGACACCACTCTATGAAAAACCATTTAATTCTCACAGTACATATTCAGAAATTTGTTGTGTATGAGAATTAAAGCAAACATTGTGAAAAATCCCTTAGAACTTGTGACCATGGTGGAAGTAAATATATTTACTTCCACCATGCTTGTGACTACTGTACTGTATTTAGCTAACCATGCAATAGATGGATTATATATGTTCACTTAAATTTGTTTGAATTACAGTACTTATTTCATTCAATTAGTAAATTTAAGTTTTTAAATGGTGTGTGTAAAAAGAAAATGGTAAAAGTGTATTAAGTTAACAGGTCAGACTGAAATTTGTATGTATATAGGCCAAATATTTACAAGTATTTATTCACTGATTAAAACCCTCGAGACAAAGTGTTTATACCTATTACAATTTAGGATGATATTATTAAATGAGAAATGTTTCTGAGAATCTATATTCTCATTGTATGCATAGGCCTAGTGTTCATAGGCTATATTAAAAATAACTTACAAAATCTTATTTTATTTTTATTAATTACCCCGTGTACTGTGTTAGGGGCAGCTCACATTAAAGATGAGTATATACAATCAACAAACTGCAGATAATTGTGTAACAATATTTTCATATTCAGCATTTTGTTGTGAAGAATGAGTTTATTATCAAAAGAAAACAACGAAGAGTTTTTGATAATAGGCAGAACTGATTATCACAAGTGGTTTTAAGGAAGTTATTTATCTAAAGGTGGGTGGTATCCTTTCTGATAACTGCTATGTGTTTTGTTAGAATCTAGTTTAACAGAACCAATAACTATCATTCAAAAGATGTTAAGTTTATCTTTATTGTATTCTCTTATTCATTTATGCTATATACAACTTCTTTTCAGTTATTTTTAAAACAATATTTCCACTTCAACCAGCCTTTTGTTTTTGTATTTTTAAATTAGATGATCAAATTAATATTTAGTAATTACTTTCCTAACTTAAATTTTACTGTTCTAGGAAATCAAAACCCAATATTGAAAAAGAAATCAGATAAAATGTGTTTCCTAACATTTGTATATCGCTATTATGTAATCAAATTTAAGTGGAAAAAATATTTGTGGCACAAAGATCGATGTAGGAAGGGAATAGAAGATTTGCCTCCACAAAATGCTATCACTAAACACTGGCGAAGGATCAAGGACTGGTACCATTCATTTAATGAAAAGCATTATGAGATGATAGAGAAATACACGTCCGCTAACACTCTAGAACACTTTCTTCTGATGGCCGCTGTAGGTTGGTTGGTTGGAACTTTGTTGACTGTCCTATACTTCTACAGCAGTGTGAGTAGAGGCGATGCAGATGTGTTTTGGTGTTTTATGATCAAAGTTCCTCTCCTCGTGTTGATAACAGTGTCTCTAGCCTTCACGGAGACTGGTCGTTGCTTGTTACTGCTGGTGCCTCTACAACTATGCTCTTCTAGAGGGCAAATGTACATCCACGGGACCGTGTTACTGTTGGTCACCACGGGGCCATTGATGAATCTTAAACACAACCTGAGCGTGATTCAAGAAACTAGTACCTGCCAGCAGAAAGGTGTAGCTGACGCAGCAGCTGAAATAGCGGACATCCTTTTTGGACCTTTTACATCCTTTAAACAGGCAGCGATGGAAATCGTCAATGGTATCAAAACTATGGTAGCCAAGATTCAAGCTATATTGACGAGTTTTAAAAGAATGGTTATGACAGTAGCTGATGCCATTCAGGGTGCGACGCGATGGATCAATAGTAAAATTAACGGATGCAAGACTACTGTCGGTACAACTTACCAACACTGCATGGATGCTTTCACCTGGATGTATGACGAGTGTAAGGTGAGCGTGCCTAGTGTGTTTGTGAAGATGTGCGCTGTCACTGAGTTTGCTAGCAACCTCTGCAGTACTGTTAAACCCGGGGAGTATCTGTGTGACTTGGTGTTCTTCAATGTGGATCCGCTTGTAACTACTGTCAGTCAAAGAATCAGCCGACTATTGGACCGAGCGTACACATTGATGTACTTCTCAGTCAACATACATCACGAGTTTCACATAGACTCAAATAGCCAGAATATCATGAGCGATATCAAAGAAAGATTAAAATCGTCTTTAGTAAGCTTAATCATAATGCATTATTTTGCTAGTGTCGTACAGCTTGCAATGTTTTTATTTCACTTTTGTTTCCTGTGGATTGTTTATCGCTACAGATCGAGGTACTTGCGGAGAGATGAGTTTGACAATTACTATATGAGTGGGAGATTGAAAGATATTGATCATCTTGAAGCTCTAGCTGGTCGAGAATCTATATTTCCATTGACAAGAGTTGAAACAAACAAATACATCAAAGTGTTTAGCTGTAAGATTGTTAAAAAGGAGTGGAAATCATTCTCTTTTCCGACTTTTACTACTATAAAGACAGGCTTGTATCTAGGAATTATTGGGATGGATTATTTGTTATATTTTATTGCTGAAAAATGTCGAACATTTATGCTCGCTGTGATGCAATCTTTTGGTTCACGAACAGAAGTCTCTATTGTAGGGTCTGGCTTTCTAGCGGAGCTAAGTAGACGTGTGGTGCGAGCATTGAATTATATGGATTATAATTTTTACCAAGCTCACTTTATGCCTTGCATACCCAATCCAAGGCCTCCCAATTCTTGGACAAACCGTGTAATTTATTTTTGGCTTATTGTTCTATGGTTTTCTTGGGCGATGAAGCCCTTTGTTTTGAGATTCAGACATGTAGTGATGGACTATTACAACCCTGACGTTGCCGACAGACGAGCAAGATGGCTTTACAATCATATAGTGTTCAAGAGAATGAATTTTCTAAAAGTAGTTAGTATCAAATTAAGGGGAAAGTACAGTTCTGATCAATCAAAGAGGACATTTTCTATTGCTGACTTCTTGAGAGCCAAATATCCATGGATTACCTACATAATAGGAAAAGGTCTGATTGGCTCATATTGTAAAATTTGTAATCATGTTGTACCACCTTTGTATTACTGTCCCACTAAAGATTGCTTAGGAGTCTATTGCGACGACTGTTATATAAGTGTTCAAGGGTTGTGTTACATATGCAGACGAGAAATGATGGTAGCTGACTTTGAAAGCAAGCGGATCAATTTCAAGAGCATTACACCTGACTCAGAAGAAATCGCTGATGTTAAGGATGAAGAGGAAGGATTTTTCAAGGTTGTTGATGATGAAAGTGATTTGGATTTTAGCTACCAGGACCAAATGACTAGTTACAGAGTGTCTGAATCTGAAGAAAATTCCCAAACTATTCAGTATACTTTTGTTGAGAGCAATGATGACCATGTCCCGTTCAAATCAAAATTAAAACACAGAAAACTCCGAGAGTTTAATGGAAGTAAGAAGTTGAGCTATGAAGAAATGTTTGAGATGCTCTAAATTATTTTTGTTTATTTTCCTGTCATATTTACTCAGGTTACCAGTATTACATTAAGGGAGTAATTTTTATGTAAGTTTACCACAAATAGTTATTCTTATACTATGAAATAATTTTTTGTTGTTTAGTTTGACAATTACTATATGTCAGTTTTAAACATACCGAGTCTAACTAGGATGTAACTAGTAAAATGTTATACTGTAATAAAAGTTAACTTGATTGTATCATGTTTTTACTCTTCACAATTTACTTTCAATAAGAGTTATTACAAATTAAAGGTATGATATTCATAAAATATGAATGCGATTTAGTACTTAGGACACTCAAAATTCAGATATTTTCATAATCAAAATTTTCAACATTAAATAGTATATATTATTCAATGGTTTTATGGATACCCTACTCATCCCAAATAAAAAAAAAATGCTCTAGTTGCAGCAAACCTGGAGACGAAGCAAATTTAGGCCTACATTTTGCCTGATTAGATTTTCACTAAAATATGTACTTGGGCTTGTCAGATTTATTCCCCCTTAAAACCTAACGAGTACTAGTTTTGCTGCTACAAGGTTAGTAGTAAAGTTTGTTCTAATGCAATTTCAAAAAACTTCAAAAATTAATAAATTTAACAGATTCGATGGCTGGTCCCTTATTCCTATCGCTTGACTTGTACTCAACACAGTCAAACCACACTAAACCAGACTAGTTCAAAGTAAAAATAAAACAAAAGTGATATCGTGGTTTTCCAAAAATTTGTGTTTAATTTGATATCAAATTTCATACTAATCAGTCATTGGACATATTTTTATTCCCAACAGCCACTGATGGGATTAAAATATGTAAATGTTGACTGATTTCTGTTAAATTCAGTAGCAAATTAACAGCAGTTTCTAGAGGAACCACAATATTGCACTGTTTTATTTTTATTAGTAATGTTACAGAAAGTTTTTTTGTCATATACAGTTCAATTAAGTGGGAGTTCAGTCGAGAGGTAGAAGTTGTGAACAAAAGCTTGGAGCAAGATTTCAACCCCGGGGCCTAAGTTAAAGTCTGCCACTAGCCTTTAGTATTGGACCATGTACTTACAGTACTACATTGTTACCAAAATGTTATTTCACTCCAATCGTCATCTCACTCTAAAACTTATCCAATATTTATAATTGCTTGATTTTGCGTTTGTTGTTGTTTGACGTTTATAAGTTTTCAGCACATCAGTGGTTGAGTTAAAATAGTGTTCGACAGTTAGTGAAAAACTCAACAATGAGTCAATTGTGTGTTTAGTGTTACTAGTGAGTGAAGTGAACATTCGTTTCGGGGATTCTAATACAAGGATTTCTTTGCAGATCGAAAATCCGAGAAGCAAGAAATGAGTAATAATGATCCAAGATCCGCCAGAAACATTCACAGTACTAATGTGGCTTTGGAACAAAATAATCCGTGTTTAAGAGAGAGCCAGGCTTCTCTGAAGTGCTTGGACAGAAACGGATACGACAATGATAAATGTCAAGATTTCTTTGCCAACTATAAAGCCTGCTTGAAGTTCTGGACTAAAGTCAGGAGAGAACGTCGATGGAAAGGTATCAAGCCTGAACTGCCCCCGGTGGAAGAAAGGGAGGCTATACGGAATGAATATTATAAAAAGTGAAAATTTGTTATTTATCAAATAGTTTTATTAGTGAAAATATATTGTTAGACGTGTGTGTGTGTGTATTTGTCCTCCATTAATATCCATTAGGTTCTGTGTAGGGCTAATTGTGTTTCATAATACTGTATAGTAATTAACTAGGACCGGCTCTTACTTAGCCAGGAACATAAATGGGGGTACATAAATCAGAGACAGCTGGGTCTAGTTGCGAACCATAAAAAAACTGACTTTTCTCTAATCTGGCAACTTTTTTATTCGTATTAGTAAACCACTAAACTAACTGGAAAATAATTACTGATCAGGTTTTTGAAATAGTGTAAGGTGTTTGTACAGCTTTCACACTCCAGTGTTTTATGTTCGTTCATATAAATGTTGCTGGATGACGTTAGGGCCAGGCTAACCAAAACAGTACAAAAGAAAGCACACCACATAACATGACTTGAGAAGTAATAAATAATTTTATGTCATTGGACAATCTCCATCAACAACAAGCATGAATTGTGGATTGTCCATAAATCATAAGCTTAGTAAAGCCCTTAGTTGGTACAGTAATATCAGGTTTGTGTTGATAACAAAATTTAATGTTATAAAGAAATTCAAAGCAGTAAAAATAGATACTCTCAGCCAATTCCAAGTGGAAGTAAATAAGAACAAGCCAATACTGTAATTTCATTTTAAATATTTTTATCCATTGAGTTTACTGTATAATTTACAATAAAAAGGCATCAAGGCATTCACTAACCCAATTTGTATTTAAATTTCACAGCCACATTCACATTGTGATCATGTTTAGTCCATTCTATTCATTGACTATAGATAGAAACCTTAGTAATCAATGACAACCATGGATGATTAAGAAGAAGGCACAAGTTGTTATAGATTAATAATACCATCATGTTAGGTACCTACACAACATTTAAATAAATTATTATGAAGTTTTGTGGTTGTCAGTCAACAAACTCCTTCTCTACAATTTAAAGAATATTTTTTCCAAATCATCATTCATAAAAATGTAAATTAACTCAATTGATTTGTGTATGATTTTCATTTTACATTACTAAACGAGAAAGTTTTATTTTGCGATGTGCCTTCTACAAATAATTTCAGTTAGGCCTACTACAAACAAAAACGAAAGGCAAACTATAAATTGCATGTACATTTTATATCGATTCCTCAATTATTACGTGTTGCATGTTGGCATTCCTGTCGGAGGGGGCGGTGGCAGCAACATATGTGTTGCCTTGCCATCTGCCAGATTTTTGTTTTGCACTGGTTCAGCCGCGACTAGACGTCACTTGACCTTCAGAACAGCTGTTTCCTTTTACTTGACGACGCCGCCGCTGCTACTACGAATAGTCCCATTGAGCTGTCTGCTGAAGTGCCCAAGGCTTTGTTTGTTTTCAATGTGTTTCAGTGTGTATTTTGGTTTGGTTCACTTGAGTTCTGTTTTATGGATTTAATTATATTCGTGTTATTGTAAGAAATGTGGAGTGTGTGTATTTGCAAGTCTTCTTGGTTTATATCTGGATTGTAATTTTGGTAAGGAAAGGTATGTATTATGAGCTTTATTTTTGAACACATTTTAATCTGGCATTGTCAGATTTGTCACCTATCTCTTGATGTAGTGGGTTCATGAGTCCTCGGATCGGAATAATGTTCTACATTTTTTAGTTAGGTAGGGGAGAGTTTTCACCTATCATTGCATTATGTAACAGTAAAAAGTAGGCCTACTTTTATTGCGGGATAAAGAAAACCAAATATTTATTTTGAATTAAACATAAACTGAACTCAACCTAACTTAGGATTTGAAAAAAGTCGGCGAAGAAAACTCATTATCTTTTAATTATCTTTAGTTAATTAACTAAGGCCAATGGTTGTCACCTTTCAATCTCACTATTTCCAAGTCATTTCCAGTCAATATTTTCCAAATAAAATACCAGTAGATCTGTAAAAAAATGTAAATGAAAACCTGCTGTCTGAGGGAAGTTAATTTGTCTGATAGGATTTTTACCAAAATTTTACATTAAAATATATTTATTATAGAAATTACAACAGCTTGGCCTCACCAAGTTTAAAAAACCTGTCGGCGAAGTTCATGTGATGCATAAGGCAAAACATGCCAAACATTAACAAACCAAAAGTTTTTTTTCCTAGAACAAAGTTTTTTTAATATACTATTTCTACGGCGGTTTGTGGCAGGTACTTTAACTTGAAACAAAGTAGTTGGCAGCACACTAAAAAATCTAAAATGTAATGGCATAAGTAATTGCTTTATAATCTACGGAATATTATTTGGATTGCTCATATTCAATTCAATTCAATATTTCTTTATTCATTGAAGCACAAAGTACATGAATAGTGTCATTCTCTTAAATGTTTTTATATTAGGCCTACAATGTTATATTCTATGGATACAAAGTTCTTAAAATCTAACATAAGTTAATACAAATTACACATTCACGCCCCTTCTAAAACTTTTAAAGTTCATCAAGGGAATACAATACCTTGTTGATGAGAAATGTTTTAAGACCCCTCTTAAATCCGACCATGCTTTTTGCCGATTTAATTTCATTTGGAATTTTGTTGTAAAATTTGGAGCCGGTATAACTTGGTTTTTTACTGTAAAGTTCTAATCTGTGGCGGTTTAGAGCAATGTTGGTTTTGTTTCTGGTATTGTAGTGGTGGTGTTCACCAGTTAACGCCAATTGAGAAAATCTGTTTTTAACATATAGAACTGTTAAATATATATATTTGGTCCCCTTTGTTTTTCATGGTCCGTAGACCATGTTTGAATTGTTTGTTTGCACAGCAGACTGGTAGTGCCATATTTCTATAAATATTTCTATAAACAAGACAATAATTATTCCCCATTCAAAAACATTATTTAACGAGTACCTGCCTAAGGTTTCTGCTACGGGCAATGTAAAAAGTGTTTTCCATAAAATTTAATAGTTAGGATGAAATAAATAAATTTACCAAAATTGATCAACATACTTCTATAGACCTAAACAAGCACACTACAACAACTAGTCCAAAGTTTTGGGATTTTTAAGTACAGTAGGCTAATCCAATTATTGAAATCACATAGTGCAGTAATTAAGATGCTAACACCTAGGCTAGCAAAACACCATAAATATATACAGTCACTTAAGAGAAATATTGTTATGTCTAGTCTATAAAATTGGAGATGTCCGTTGGTATATAAAATAAAGTTAAATTTGGAATGCTTTGGAAGTATTGTTTGGATAGTTTCTACATATGCTTGAGAACAGTGATTTGATGTCAACCCCCACCCAACAGCAACAGTTAGTTGATCACATGGAGATAAAACCCTGCACTATACAGGAAAGACAAGCTAGAAATTGTTCAGACGGACGTGATTGAAGCCAAGTGTTTGATTTAGGAAGCAGTGAA